ACGAAGAAACTAGCAGGGAGATATAGTAAACCAGGGACCAGCCAATGACAAATAACGGAAGACAATCACTGACATTCAGGGATAGAGGAAGAAGTGTGTCGATCAATAAGATTTTGGAGGAAGATTAACTTCCGACAGACTGTAAAGAATGTCACCTCACCAAAATACCAAGGAAAGAAGATTCGAGCAAATGTGAGAATAACAGACGCATCACACTGTTGTCAGTTCCAGGAAAAGTTCTTAATAGAGTGTTGCTGAATCGGATGAAAGTCTCAGTAGACGCCTAGCTTCGAGATCGACAGGATAGATTTCGCAATGGTCGGTTGTGCACAGACTAAATCGCGACACTGTGGATCATAGTTGAACAATCAATTGAATGGTACTCGTCAATATATATCAACCTACATGACTATGAGAAAGCATTCGACAGTTTGGATAGGCGAACACTACGGAAACTTCCTTGACATTATGTAGTGAGTAACTGAGAATATTAGCAACATCATCCGGAATTTATTCGACGGTCATGCATGGAGGACCGGAGTCAGACAAGGCTCTCCTCCTTTCTCTTCCTCCTGGTGGTCGACTGAATTATGCAGACCTCTACAACTGACTGAAAGCATGGAATAAGATTTACAGGTTGGATGCAGATGAACTGACCCTTTTACCTCATACACACCAACAAATGCAGATGAAGACAACCAGTGCAGCAGAAGTCTCTGCATCAGTAGGCCTCACCATACAAAAAGAAAAAAGCAAGATCCTCAAATACAATACGATAAACACCAAGTCAGTCACACTTGATGACGCAACTCTGGAAGAGGTGGAAAAATCACGTACCTGGGAAGCATCATTGATAAACAAGGAGGATCGGATGCAGATGTGAAGGCGAGGATTGGCAAAGCAAGGGCAGCATTTCTACAATTGAAGAACATATGGAACTGCAAAAATCTGTCAACTAGTTTCGAAGCGAGAATCTTCAATACGGACGTCAAGACAGTCCTACTGTACGGAGCTGAAACGTGGAGAACTTTTACATCCATTGTCAAGAAGGTACAAGTATTTATAAACAGTTGTTTACGCAAAATACTCAACATTCACTGGCCGGATATCATGAGCAACAGTGTTTTATGAGAGAGGACAAGCCAGCTCCCAGCTGAAGAGGAAATTAGGAAAAGACGTTGGAAGTGGATCGGACATAGATTGTGGAAATCACCAAACTGCATCACGAGCAAAGCCCTAACTTGGACTCCTAGAGGGAAGTGGGAAAGAGGGAGGACAAAGAACACATTACGCCTGGAAATAGAAGCAGATATGAAAAGGATGAATGTTGACTGGAAAGGATTGTCTACAACAGGGTTTAATGGAAAATACTGATAGGTGACCTGTACTCCTTAACAAGTAGTAACAGGCATAAGTAAGTATGTACCAGATCACGTTAGGTCACCAATGAGGATGCCACAGGTTTTGTAGTTTGACAACACTTTACCAGCAACACCTTCTATAATTGAATCGTGCACACCCAGTGAAATCAAAAGTCAGAATAGAGGAGATTGTAAGATCTATCTGCGAGTCTGTCAATAGATCAAAAAGTGACTTATCTAGACTGTCTAGCGGTTGTAGGACAAGCTGAGCGCAGCGTTCCCGCTCGTGATCTACTGAGAATGCGTGACCGAGAGCCTTCACATAGGTGAGTCCATTAAAACTTATGTGGTCAGCAACCAATGTCGAAGGCTGACACATTGAAAACACAGTTATATGAACATTTATTGGTTTTGGGGATTTATTTACCACTACAGATGCCTCCGACCACCGATCGGTGGTCCATCGCTACTAAATGGTTCAAATGGTTCAAATGGTTGAGGACGGAATAGAAGAAGCTTTCGCTTAACGGGATTCCGTGTCTGGTAGCAGTGGATCACCAATACCTCCAGGCAAGAACCTAGGTATATGAACGATAATAGAGGGGAAAAAAAGAATTTGGTAAATCATAATAATATGTTATCCTTAGTCCTTAAGAATAAGTCAAGTTTTCTCTTAAAGGACTCCTGGGAGGTCTCTTGGACTAGCTCAGTCGGCAGCGAATTCCAGCACTTGACAACTCTAACGGAGTAGAAGTTGTGTCTGCAGTCTGTTCTTCTATGTAGGGTCTCCAATTTCTGGGTGTTACCTCTCAGGTTAGTGTTATGACTAAGCTTAAGAAGTTGTTTAAGGGGATGACCAGAAGTATTAAGGATACTATAAGTCATAAGAAGATCACCTCTAAGACGCCTATACTCTAACGGGTAAAGGTTAAGTGATTTGAGGCGCTCTGCATAAGGTTTCAATTTGAGTCCCCGAACTGATTTCGTGGCTCCACGTTGTATACGTTCCAGAGTGTTCTTATGCTTTTGGAGGGAGGGAGGAAATATTATGTTTCCGTACTGTAAATGGGGACGAATAAAACTGTTGAAGATTATATGGAAGGTTCTACCGTCAAACTGGCCAAAAATGCGCTTTAATGTTACCAGTGCAAAGTTTGCTTGAGAGGCGTTTTTGTCACAGTTCGCATACGATTTCAGGTCGTAGGGTACCAACACTCCTAAATCTTTTTCAACTTGGGAAACTTCTAGAGGTGAGTTACCTAAGTTATAACTATAGCCTGCAACATGTCTCAGATGAACTACCTTGCACTTTGAAGTGTTGAAGGTAAGTCCGTTGTCGTCTGCCCAACTTTGAAGTCGAGTCAGATCCTCCTGCAGAACTAGTATATCATTGTGATTACGTGTCTCTCTCCAAAGTTTCACATCATCAGCAAAAAGCAATAAATCAGATGAAACTTGTTGAGGAAGATCGTTAATATGAATTAAGAAGAGAAGAGGTCCTAGTATTGAACCCAGGGGGACCCCACTAGGACATTCCATAGCCTGAGAGAGAGTGAAGTTAACCCTGACCTTAAAATGTCGGTTTTCTAGGTATGAAGTGATCCAGTCAATTAAAGGGGGTTTTATACCCAATCGTCCAAGCTTCTTGATAAGACATTCATGGTTGACCCTATCAAAAGCTTTTGAGAAGTCCAGGTAAATGACGTCAACCTTCCCCTTGCGATCAAGGATGGTTGTCCATCTATCCACCGCAGTCAGTAGGTTGGTCATACAAGAATGACCTTTTCTGAAACCATGCTGTTGAGGCGAGAAGAACTTTGAGGATGATAAGTGTTCTAGTATGCCGTCGAATACTAAAGATTCCATAATTTTTGAAGGTATGGAGAGAAGGGCCACTGGTCGGTAGCTTGAGGGTTCACTGCGTCGAACTCCTTTGAAAATTGGTGTGATGTGGGCCAGCTTCCATATTTCCGGTAGTTTGCCTCTGCTTAGCGAGTGTGCAAACATCACGGTAAGTGGTGTCGCCAGGATTGAAGCTGCTTCCCTCAATACGGCGGAATGAACCATGTCCGGACCAGGAGAAGTGTCTTTTTTTAGGTTCTGCAGTTTACGGAGCACCAAGTCAGCACTCAGGTCCACTTCGGAAAGTCCTGTACAGGTGCAGGTGAAGCTTTCGTCAGTATGGTTGATGTGGGTCAGCTGGAATGTCCGGGAGTAATGTTCAGCCAAAAGGTTAGCGGCATCACTGTCGTTGTTGGTCGGGCCATTAGGACCAAGCAGTTGGGAAACTCCAGTTTTGCCTTGTCGAAGAGAAGCTGCATAACTGAACAAGCTTTTCGGATTGGAGACGAATCTATCGATAAGCTTGGTCTGGAACTGAAGCCTGTCTTCTCTTATTGCCTTTGTGCATGTGTTCCTTATATGTTTGTATTGCCTGTACGCGCCGTTGTTATCAGTTCGTTTATATTCAGCCCAACGGTGCCTTTTGCGGCTTAGCAAACGACGAGTGCGGTTCTTGATGATTGTAGGTTGCTTGTAGCTTTTTGGGACCATTTTAGGAACTGAATGCTCAGTAGCACATAAGATCGTGTGCAGTAAAAAATCCCAATGAGCATCCACTTCAATTTCAGGGCGAACATCCCAATCCACCTGTTGAAGATAGTGCTGTAAAGCTAACACATTCAACCGTTTGAGGTTCCAGCGCTTGTTGCTAGTAGGATATCGTAGCTCCGTCTTGCTGACAAAGCTGAATGATAAGACAGCGTGATCACTTTTGCCCAGGGGAGCCAGGATTGAGAGGTCGTCAACTAGGAATTCTTCGTTTGTGAATACCCAGTCTAAGCGTGACGGCGTCTGACTGTTTCTCCAACGGGTTGCCGACTTCACATTTTCAAATAATCCCAGGTCGCCGATAAGGTTGAAGAACAGAGCTTCAGTAGAGTTGGCACCACCAATGTATGTATGTTCCACGAAGTTGATTCTAGGGAGATTGAAATCCCCTAGAATCAGGATATGAGAGAATCCGAGACGCGTAGAGCGAGTTAATCCTTCCAGCAGACGTTTGTCATATTCGATGTCGGCAGTGGGCTTCCTGTAAACGACCCCAACTAGGCACCTCGAGGTGGCAGATAATCTTACTGAGCACCATACTGACTCGTCAAAATTGTGAAACTCTTGGTTGTGAAGTTGGTGCGCATCCAGGCATGACCGTACGTATAGTGCTACCCCACCCCCCATTCCTGTTTTTCTGTCGGGATCCCGTTAAGCGCGAGCTTCTAATCTGTCCGGAACCACTTTTAACCATTTGACCTCATGTACTTCTTTCGAATAGGTCTCAAAGTTGTCCCAACTTGTAAATCGTCGCGATAACAACATCACTGAAGGTTCGTCCTATATCACGCATCATCACGGTGGGATCGTATTCGTTACTGGAAGGATGGATGTTATCAGATATTATGTAGCTGAATTCAAGTCAATAAATGTTTTGATTTAACCGCTTCTGCAAAACCTTACGAATTGTCGAGGTGACTCACCAATCGTTTTACGATAGTTTGACCTTCAAGTGCTCACAACCTCAATCAGTGGACGATACCCTTGAGGCGTTACTTGAAGCTACTCGGGTTTCTGGAGTCGTGTGGAATGGATGTATGTTTTATTTGATTTAACTTCTAAGATGCATTTCATCATGCCTTTATCAGCACTGTGTCTGCATGGATGTAGTAAATTACGCTTTTTATGATGAAATGAGTAAAAGTTGAGCACTTAATAGGTTAACCTATCTAGTTGATAGCTTATTAACACTTATTCTACTTTCCCCTAGATCTTCAGTTTCAGTGTTCCTTCACCCATACCTTATATTTGATATTTTTTAGATTCCATTCAACACTTCCAAAAAAATTTCGCCAGAATCACTCTATACCGACAGGTGTAAGCTATTCTTAGGGTTACATTAAGAATAATCACTCACAAATGTCAATCAGCATTCAGCTTTCGTAAAATTTGTAAGATAAAAGACAATAATATAACCACAGGGGATTAAAGGTTTTGATATGATCAATAAACGTATTAGGACTGACTGTGGACAACTTTGTTGCCCACTTAATCCCAACTGCTAACCCCAATATTCATAAGGCCTTACCTAGTTGCCCCTAAACTCTGACACCTAACTGTGATACTTCTCACTCCGAAACCTATAAACCTTAGCTTCCGGTCTTAATACTTTTGAATTTAACTTGATAATCGTAACAGTTTATTCGAGAAAATCAATATCCATTCTATCTAAAATACGAAATATAATCAGAATCATAATATCAAGCAACAGGATATTGGAAGTAGAATTTTAAACTAATACTAATATTCATTAACGACTTTCTTACCCTTGATTAGTCGTTGGAGGCTGTCGACATAGTATAGTATTACGGAGATTATATTTGCAAAAGGTTATTTGGTTTCAATTGCCCGGACTTTTGTAAGTATAGCTTTAAGTGTCATATTCTGAGTGTTTAGCTCTTCCCATTACCAGTGATATTGCTATTATCCCTATTTCCTTCAGCCTTCAAATGTAGGTGCGAGGTAGTGGCTCTTATTAATTCTTGTTATTTTTTGGTTCTGTCAGTCAGTCAGTCACAACGTAGAACTTCGTACGTACGTACATCAGTTCGAGTTGCCATACCACATTAGCACAGAGATGCAGTTGTCGATTCAAATCCCATAGTGGTAGAAGTAGTAGGAGTATAATCAGAAATCCAAAAGATTAGGGTTTGAAGAAATTATTGAAGGAGTATAGTACAGTGAAATAAATTTGAAAAAAAAAGATAAAGACACAAATAATTCAGAAGATTAGAATTTGGTAGAACACAAAGAGTGGATGCATCTTCGCCATTGCAAACGATTTTGAGCCATGTCATTCAAGGTCTCTAACCATCGGTTGCTGTCATCTCGCGAATCCCAACCAGGTAGTCTACACCTACCAACATGGCCCAGTCCACTTGTCAGTGACTTCATTGATTTGTGCCACGTTTTGGTCTGGCCACTCCTAGCTTTCTTCCAACCTACTCCTACACCATGAAACATTGCACGTCGGGGCAGTCGGTGGTTGGGCATACGTAACACATGTCCCAGCCATCTCAACTGGTGAAGTTTCACTACTTCATCAATCGATTTGCCATCCTTACCTAGTACTCGTTTCCTAACAACTGCATTATTTACCCGATGGTCCCAGGATATACGAGCAATGCGTCGAAGACACCTATGATGGGATACTAGTAGCCTACGAATATCCTCTACTCTTATTGGCCATGTTTCACTGCCATAAAGTAGGACGGAGCGAACTGCTGCACAGTAAACCCGTCCTTTGGTTGCTAGACGGATATCTCGCCTACGCCATAAATGACGCAAGTTGGCGAAAGCTAGACGAGCCTTCTGTATCCGTGCTGAGATTTCGTCATACACCAGACCACAAGGGCCGATGAGACTCCCAAGATGAGTGAAGCTGTCAACCCGCTCAACTACTTCACTCCCTATCATTAGTTCAGGTGTCGCTGCAACCCAATCCTCAGTCAGTCAGCAACAACGTAGGACCAGGCACATATATGCATCGGTCCAAGTTATTTATTTATATTTATTTATTTAAACACATATATATTGGTACAAAAGGGCACCAGGTACATATGCGCCACACAAAATAATGAAAGTAGGTAGATAAAGGATGAAAAGATAAGGCGGGCTGAAATGTACAACCAGAAGATTCTTTCAGTTAGGAAAGTTAGAACCATTCTTTATGTAGAAAGTAAAAGAAGGTTGCAGCAGGATCGCCACTGGCTTCTATTCTGAGCCATATCCGATAACGTCTCTAGCCACTGTGTTGCACTATCTCTCGGACCCCAACCAGGGAGTCGTGAAGGACCAACGGAAGCTAGCCCTTTGCAGCTCTCTTTCATGCCACGACACCATGTCATACACTGACCTCCTCTCCGCTTTCTCCAACCAGTCCCAGAGTCGGCAAATAATGCACGACGCGGAAGTCTCTGGGACGACATTCGTAAAACATGTCCGAGCCACCGAAGTCGGTGTTTCAAGATGGTGAAACCAATTGAATTATCGTCTCTGCGCCCGAACACACGATGCCGAACCTCTGCATTACTAACATGGTGTTGCCACTGGATGTCAGCAATCCTTCGGAGACAACGATGATCGAACACAGAGAGACGTCTAACATCCTCAACTCGGAGAGGCCAGGTTTCACAAGCATAGAGCAAAACTTCTCTCACCGACGCGTTGTAGATCCGACCTTTTACAGCCAGACTAACATCACGAAGGCGCCAAAGATGGCCCAGATTGGCATAAGCCGCTCTGGCTTTCATTATACGTGCATCAATCTCATCACTCACGCCACCACCAGCACTTATATAGCTACCTAGATACACGAACTTCTCAACTACTTCGATCTCCTCACCATCCAGGGTGAGTACAGGATGAGAATCCTGCCAGTCTTGTAGAAGTACTTTGCACTTGGAGGGTGCAAAGCACATGCCGTACCTGCGGACACTGATTGCCAACTGATTAAGTGCTGATTGCATGCCTTGGGCATTATCGCACAGTAAGACAATATCATCCGCATACTCAAGGTCGAGAAGTCGTTCTCCAGGCAACATATCCACACCGCCATTACTTACATCCATCAGAGCTGTTTCCAGAATGTCGTCGATGGCAAAGTTGAAGAGGAATGGGGAGATCGGGCAACTTTGCCTAACCCCACTGCTCGAATGGAACAAGGGAGAAAGGTGGTTGTATGCCCTCACTCTGCCTGAGGTGTTCGTATACAGGGCCTTTAAGATGTTAATGAACTTCTCAGGCACACCCTTCTTCAATAGACAATCCCAGAGAACAGTCCTGTCCAACGAATCGAAGGCAGCCCTGATATCAAGAAACACTACGATTGTTGGCCTGCGATAAGTATGACGGTGTTCTAACATTTGGCGGAGGGTGAAGATGTGATCAATGCATCCTCGACCAGAACGAAAACCAGCCTGCTCCTCGCGAGTCAATCGTTCTCGGGTTTTAAACAACCTACGAAGAATGATAGAAGTCAATAGTTTGGACGCGATCGAAAGTAGACTTATCCCCCGGTAGTTATTGCAGGAACAACGTGAACCCTTTTTAAAGATAGGGACGACTATTGACTCATTCCATGATGTTGGAACACTTTCTTGCTCCCAAACCTTTCCAAACAACGCAGTCAGTTCCTTAGTCAGAAAGTCACCACCATCTTTAAAAAGAGCCGGAGGTAAGTCATCTGGGCCAGGTGATTTATAACGTTTCAAGAGTTGGAGTTCCTTGCGGACTTCCGCCTCGTTTGGTGGATCAGTCGTCACCGGCCATGGGGAGCAGGACAAGCTGGTTGATGTTGCCGGAGCAGCAGGCCAGTTGAACTGCCCTTCGAAAAATTCCGCCCATCGTCCAAGACGTCGACAGATGTTAGTGATTGGCATCCCGTCATCCTCGTAGATTGTTTCACTCACACCAGACTTCTTGCTGCCAGTGGCTCGGATGAGTTGGAAGAGCTTCCGGCAGTTACCAGATGCAGCTGCTGCTTCCATCTCATTAGCACGCTCCGACCACCAGGCTTCCCGGTCCTTACACAAGCTTTGCCCGATTTCATTACGTAACAGCCTTCGTTTGTGGTCAAACTCACGGTCACCCGGAGTAGACCGACGGGCTTCCATCAGTTGTAAGGAACCAGAAGAAACCCATTAGCACAACAAGATCAACACCGGATTCATAGTAGTTAATTTAGTGGTGGTGGTAGTATATAAAGAAAGGTTGTATAGAAGGATATAGTATAGGAAGGAAAAAAAGTTATGAAGCAATTTTAATCTCAAGGTTTAAGGGAAGATAAAGAGTGTATACACCTACGCCATTGTGATCGATTCTGAGCCATGTCACCCAGAGTCTCCAACCATTGGTTACGATAGTCACGCGGACCCCAACCAGGTAGTCTACATCTACCAACATGGCTCAGACTAGAAGTTAGTGACTTCAAGCTCTGATGCCACGTTTTGGTTTGGCCGCCCCTAACTCTGAGGTAAGATGGTGGTTGGAGGTGGTCAACAGGAAACCCTGGACCCGGTTTCGTGCTACTTGGCACTCGTCAGCAAGGTGCACCTGTAATCCTGAGGGAACTGATGCTCCCTGGCGGATTCGATCCCGCGTCACTCAGCTTCACAGTCAGAGACGTTACCACTGAGCTATTCGGGCCGCGACCAACCTCCTGTAGGACTGAGATGTAATGACAATGGATTGATCACTGGGTGGTGATCAATCTCATGCATGTCAGGTCCTTCTTAGTGCTGATCGAATGCTATCGATCGAGTTGCAATGTGTCCACCAGTCTAGGTGGCTCGACACTGCTTGCACTATATGTGTGTGCATTTTTAGGGTCGACCTTTTCTAACCCCACCCCTCCTTGTGGGAAGGCAGCATCGCTGTCATGCTGGTTGTCTGAAGGAAACACCTTACTGCTTTCACACCTCTGTACAGTCAGCAGTACGACTTCGCCTTCGGACCTTGGGATTGCTGCTTTTAGTCTTACCGCCCTTCAACCGACCTGTCTGGCATGGTAGGACCTTGAGGAACGATTGTTCCAGCCAGTATAGCTCGATTGCTTCATCACGATAGGCAAGCCCGACCACCACGTCAAGGTAGCAGCAACGGTCGGGCAACGGGTATGTAGTCATCTAAACTGGTTGAATGTTCTTCCCATGTCATCCTATGATATCCTCATACCCGGTGTTGTCCATTCCGACTTTGGCGTTTAGGTTTCTCATCAGGATGAACAGGTCTTTCCTAAACTTTGCTGTGATTGATAACAGCTTCTCATAGAACTGATCTTCATTGTCGTCATCCCTATCTTTGGTGGGTGCATAACATTGGATAACATTCATTGTGATCCCCTCCTTCTTTGTTTCGAAAGATGTTTTGATAATTCTGGATCCGTGAGATTCCCATTCTATAAGTGCATTTCGTGCTTCTCTGAACAACATTAGAGCAACTCTCTGAGTGTGTGGAGCATTTTCCTCTTCGTAATTAGAGTAGGGCAGCATCTATCCTGTATCTAGCCTTTGCTGTCCAGCTTGGGTCCAATCGGTTTCGTTGATTCCAAGTACTGCCAATTTCTATTTCCTCATTCCCATTGCCGTTTGACTGGTCCTCCGGCTCTTCCACATTGTCGGGACGCCCCATGTACCTATGTCAATTGTTGCTCTGGTTGTTAGAAGAGTCATCGGTCTCGTGACTTTTGGAGAATCTGGGCTTTCATCATGAGGCGTCATAATTCTTCCTTGAACTCGGGGGGCAGAGTTTAAATGGTTTAATTTGTTTAATCTGGTTGTTTTTCAGCAAGATTTCCTCCTACGGGACAGGGTTGTTGACCTCATACCCAACCCTACTTTATCCGGTCTTGAAACCGGCAGTAGCCGCGGAAGGGCTACAAGCCGAGTTGCAACTCATTTACATACATGATAATTGATAATTGAAGAGATGTAGGCATTGTTATATCGTCCGGTACTTAATTATACTTTCATGACCTACGTGATCTCTCTATCAGTATATTTAAAAGAACCCATAAACTACTGTACTAAACTAAATAACTTTTTTGACAGATATATTGTCTTTTTAATATTTTCCATACGTTCGGAACCCATTTATTGTGAAAAAGTTTGTTCGAGACTGAACGGAAGTTCACATAAGTTATTAGTATAATTCGCCTACTGGGATGAAATAAAATATATGTGAAGGAACGTTGAAACTGAAGATCTGAGGGTAGTTAGAATAAGTGTTAATAAACCGTCAACCTGATAACCTAAATACTTAACTTTCACCTCATGTGTCACTAATACGTACTTTAATCCATCCATGCAATTAATTCGTTAGTTAATTTCTTTCATACAAGATTTCATCAGATATCAACTCATAAAAACTAATTATGCTTCCAAGCTAAGTGTATTTGTTGATGCTCTCAGCTACTTCACCCACGGTCATTGGTTTAGTCATTGATGCAGACCAGTCTTAAAGCAACGTCTTACATTTGATTCGATAGAAATACATCCCGTTCATGCTAGCATTGTTACTCAAGAGAAACGGAGGAATGAATTTTTTCAGTAGGATTATGTCACATTCATATTCTAAGTCAATAAGTCTCCTAGTAAAAGATCGATTCCTAAAAATCAGACAATGATAACATCCTCTTTAAACAAATGCGTATAATGAATTCAAATAAAAAAATTGTGGAAGCCGACAAACCTAACGAACATCATCCAATGTTGTCGATCCTGGTTACAGTTTGCCATAAGCTGTGACTCAGTCGGTGATATTCGAGCAGAGCCCGTATAAAGTTGATGTATTTCTTCAGTGGCAGGCACTGCTATAAAACCTGTCAGTTTACAGAATTGAATACTGTCTTAAGGTCGAGAAATAAAACTGAGGTTGGGAGTTACTAGGTATGTCTGTAATCCAGAAACTAACGAAGGGTGGATATTTGGTCTACACATTCACGTCCAGGTGTAAAACCACCCAGCCTGGTTTTCCGGGGTTTGCTCTTCGTTAGCCTTGATTGGGGCATCATATCATTGTTTTGGTGGAGCTACAAATCCCACGGTATGATTTAGTTTTAATTACAATGCGCATATTTAAATGAATTTCCGTATGGGAATCATCCTGACAACATCCTTTCAGTTTTCACGTTATAATGCACGTTGTTTATACTGCAGCTTGAAGTTTTTCATCGGTTTACTGTGAACTAGTTATTCTATCATTAACATTCATGATTGCTGTTTATTTTAGATTTCTGTTAATTCTGATTATGGCGGATTGCCTACTGAAAATACCATTGAAATACCATTAAGAGGAGGTGATGAAATAATTGAACTTGACACAGACCAGTTGCCTGATGGTGAAGAAGTGCTCAATATATTAAATCAAGAAAAAGCTCCCTTGCAAATTTGGATCACTGTTGCTATTGCTTATTATAAAAAGAAATTATACGATGATTTTGAGAAAGTTCTTGAGGAAGCATACCTAAATGCAGCTGATCTTCAACCGTATCATGACAGCGACTTGGTTCGATTGTTAGATATGCTTGCTAATTATTATGGTCGTAAAGCTTACAAGTAAGAATAATTACTTGGCAAAAGCTATCTTTTTTATTCAATTCGCTAGACGCTTGTTAATCTGCAACATTTCCAATACTTCTGACACTGTTTTCTCTCTAACATTTCATTTACAGGTTATTTTTGTATGTGTTTTACTATATTTTGAACAATTTAGTTACATTCCTTAACGAAAAGGTTTAAATAAGATTTCACAGCATGGTTAATGAATTTTTAATCGGTTCAAATGTTGTACAAGTTTTATTTTGAGATGGTGGGGAAGATTTGTAGCTCAGGTGGATAATTTTAGTGGAGTTTTATTTTCCGACTTGTATTTAAGTCATCTCCAATGGAACTTTATAAGCAACAAAATAAACACTGTTAAAACAAGCAAATACACAGATTTGTGTTAGAATGACTATCTTACCATCTTAGATATTAAATCAATACAGTTAACCAAAGACTAGATCAATAAATTCAATAGATCGCGATACTTGATTATATGAATTCGAAGTCCCATCAACTATCAGGAACCAAATATAGTCAACAACGACAGTATATTATCAAATAGTTCAAAAAAGTTAACATGTGTAATTAAAGTGGAATATTAGTTAAATCAGTTTTACATATAGGATAGTCCCTTATATTGAGTGTAGCCGGATATGTCTGTCTTTGCACATCAACTAGTCATGGGTTACTTTAATCGACACTAGCTTATTTTCTGTAATTTGCTTTTGTATATTATAATTCTGCTCCCAATACAATCCCATATCAACATAAATGTTCATTGCATGGAATTGAATGAAAAGAAATAATTTTTCCAAAATACCAGGAAATCTGAAATTATGGTTTAGGAGTACTAATTTTTAGTGAGTTTGTTTGTTTATGCGCGTAATGCGAGATATACAGGGCATATGTTTATTGTTGTTTAAATTAAATAATTATTTATTATTTTATAATTTTCATTCTCAGTCTTGGATTATCTATTGGCATGTTAACAGACAAGTAACTCATTATTGTACTATCTTGACTGAATATTTTTTCAAATGTAAATAACAGCTTTAATTTCTTTGAGATATAGTCACATGCTCAACCAATAGGATAGTAATTCTTTTTTTGATGTTTACTTGATTAAGATCTAGAGATCAGACATCTTATCCATTTCAGTAATTTTAACAAACCTATTTAGTTGTCATAGTAGTCATATCTTTTTTGAACGAATTATGTATTGATATATATGAAAACCAGTATTTAAAAAGCTAACTTTTGTATAATTTATAGAGAAAAAAGCAAGGATAAAAAGAACCAATTAATTGCTCAGGCAACTAGACTTTTTACGTCAGCTGATCGAATTGATATGTACGATCAAAAACATCTATTGGGCCGAGCGTTCTTTTTTATCTACGAAGGTGAAAATTGGAGTCAAGCTGATAGTCAGTTGAATTTTGTTTTAAATCAAGGTGCTCCAAGTGTACCGGCTTATCTGGGCAAAGCATGTATTGCATTTAATAAAAAAGAATATAGAAATGCTTTAGGATTTTATCGTAAAGCATTACGATTACAGCCAAATTGTCCAGCTACCGTTCGGCTTGGAATGGGTCATTGTTTTTTTCGACTGGGCAATATGGAAAAAGCCCGTTTAGCGTTTAAACGAGCTTTGGACTTAGATCCAGAATGTGTTGGTGCATTAGTCGGATTAGCTGTGTTGGATCTTAATGAAAAGACCCAAGTAAAGTACTTTTTTACCACATTTATATTGTGTAAATTATTTGACCGGTCAGGGCTTATAATGCATTGGTGCTCTTTTATGTAAGGTAGGAGATAATTTCTCTCTTAATTTGTGGAACTATGTAAAAACCACAATGTCTGTTTTTTGTAAATCATTTACGTTTTGATCATAGGCAGAGTAAATAATGAAGTCCTTGTCTTCGTTTTAACCTCCTCCCTCCCAAAAGAGCATATGCAATTACATATTGCAATCAGTTTCAAGTAGGCAGTTTTCTATAATTTGAAAATCCTAGTTATGAAATGTAATTACGGGTTACCACGTTTCTTGTCTGGTAGAAACTGACTTTTACTTTACTGAAATAATACTCATTTTATTGAGTAGTTGAATTATAAATAGTTAGAACAAGTTTTAATAAAGTCTGTCCCATCATTTACTTAGTGGTTTATTGATTAAAACATCTCAACTTCTGACCATTGAATTACGGATTTGAACTTAACTCCACCTTCGGTTTATTAAACACTTGCGTAGTCTTCCCATTGTCTTAATACAAAAATATTGTAGCTCAAAGCCTCGTGCACGAATTTTGTACTAGGGGGACTGATCTACACTAGTATAACAGTTTGAGTTGGTTATATGAGTGACCGATTACTTATTGACTACGTATTGACTAAAATTTGTTTATCCGTGTTTTAATTACAGTGCACTATTATTCGTCATTACTAATAAAAAACGTATTAGAATTGAATGCTTTTATGTTAGTACTATAAAAATCCTAAGGGCGACTTCATCTTCGATTTGTTGTGTAACTTTAATATACCACACATACAACAAACTTGTTTTACAATAAATTTTATTCCATGAGCTACACAACAGTGTTTAATAAGCGGTCAAATCTATCCATTAATCCATATTTAAACACGGTTTTGTACTTTATACAGTTATCTTAGGAATTTTCAAGTTATTGTGTTCTTCTAACTGGGATGATATGATCGTGTGAAGGTTTCATTCTCTTTCTGGACACATACTTTGAAGAATGTGGGCTATTAAAAATGCTTTGCAATTAATTGAGGCAATTAGTCGTAGAAGGACAAATCTATTCTGTGTATTTTGCACGTGAGGCGAAATTTAGATTATTATAAATGATAAGTAGAATGTTAGTCGATATATGAACGCTGTGATATGGTTTCAGTGAGTAGTGGCTACTCACAAGATCATATTTTCGACTTGAGCAGTCTAATGATTAGGAATCAAAGACAAGACGACTAGTTAAATGAATAGTTTTTTCATGTAATAAAATAACATGCTTATTTACAGAATATGGACACAAGATAAGCATGATAAAATGGTCATAGGTGATTAGAAGGAGTCAGATTGTGGGTCACTCATTCTCCAAGCAATTAAGGACAGTCTATTAGATCTAATTTCAGATAATCGTGCTACCACCTCCACGAAATGGTGTGGAATCCTTCTGTGATAACATTGGTGAGGTGATGCTTTTGCTTCTTCATGTGTTCTTCAATTTTATTTCAAATAATGTTTTCATCTCTTCCAATTGCACTCGCCTCATTGATATGAACTGAGAGATACTTCATTTTGCCTCTTCCTCACCCTCTTTAAATTGAGGACTTGTCTCACAGTTTGGTTGGATAACGATCCGTACACATGAAGGCTTCGTTTGCTATAACTAAAAACGTTAGACCAATCAAGGCTATTTGAGTCAATAATAATCACAATGAAATAGAAATACGTTACCAAGCATAATAATAGTTAAAAGTACAAATTGATAGTGGGAAGACAGGTGTACTGATAGTATGATAGTAGTAAGAATAGTAAATTACGATAACAAAAGTCTTATCAATAATTAAACATTGAGAATTAAGAGGTCAAACGTGGGTAAATAGTCTGGAATAGTAATCACAAAACATTAAAATCATTACGTAATAAGAAGTATGTAAGTAAATAGATAGTGAAGAACACAAACGGAAAGAGGTAGAAAATTACAAACAAACAAAAAATGATAACCAAAATACAAAAAATTTTTACAAATAATAATAATGTCAATTATTAAGTTATGTCCGGCCATGGAAGGGATAGGGGGGTTACGAATTTCTTCTGTACACATAAATTGGGATGGAATGTACGAATCCCTATGGCTTCTGCTATATGAAGTAGACGGGAGCGAACTCCGTTGGGAAACGATGGAGGTATACGATAGATCACTTGAAATGATTTCAATTTATCAACAGTATGACCACTATCAATTAGATGTGCCAAGATAGAACTGCGTATTGTTTTTATTTGGCCCTTTCCAAACCATGCTGGTAGATGTTCACTCATTCGTTGGTTAAGTTGCCTAGTAGTACGCCCGATATAGCTATCTCCACAGGAGCAGCTGAACTTATAAATGCACATGGAGGAGGCCAACTCAGGTAACTTATCCTTCGTTTGAGTAGACATCACTGGTCGACTCGAGAAAGTCAATGCAAGATAGGCTGCGTAGAAAGTTCTACTAATTACTTTTGTTAACCTATCTTTCAGAGTTTCACTAGCTACATCCCCGTTGAATGGTAATTTTATGTATAGAGGCTTCTTACGAACAGTTAAAATCTCCGATTTCTTCCTTGTATCATACATGTACTTTTTGATGAACGCAGCAGGGTAGCCGATCTCAGTCAGTGAGTCATAGATAAATTCCAGTTCCTGACTTAAAGTATCAACAGAACAGATCTTATTTGCTCTACTAGTGAGGCATTTAACCAAGTTTCTCTTATATTGGATAGGTGTAAAGCTATAGAAGTGAGTGTATTGGCAGGCAGAGGGTCTTTTTCTATACACGCTTCTACTTAACGAGCCATCACTTCGCCTGCTTAGTGTAACGTCAAGGAAATTCAGCTTCATGTCACATTCACCTTCACAAGTGAAGCTAATCGCTGGATGTACACTGTTGAACTGTTCTAGTAGTTCATCCTTACTGGTGTTCTGATCCACGACTATGAATGTATCGTCGATGTAGCGGCAGTATAGATCGAGCTTCTTAATAGCCTCCTTAAGTGGGCCATTTTCTAGCTTAGCTAAGAAGAGATCAGCAAGAATCGGGCCTAGAGGTGAGCCCATGGCTATTCCGTCTATTTGTCTATAATAGGAATTGTTGAAGACGAAATGAACATTCAGTGTACATCTTAAAAGCAATTGTTCGCTTACATATGTTGTTCTAATTTTCACAATGGGAATCTTTAATAACTAAAAACGTCAGTTCTCGTGAGATTGTTTGGTGCATAACTTGTGGGGGCTGATCTGGCAATTTAAGTTTTTTTTAATTAAACGACTTCGTATATTCCTCATGAACTACGTCAGATTGGCTGCACATACAAACAACCAAAGTGTTTCTAACTAAGATACTGATAACGACCTTCTATTAACGACCCTATCGTCATTAAGCGTTCTACGTTAATGTTTTCGATTACTCGTTTAATCCTAACGACTAATTTTAATTCAAATTAAATTTTCTATTTAAAGAAACTATTCGTCAAAACATTCCTTTCAACCAGATGTTATTATTTATTTATTTATTTAAACACATAGTTATTGGTACAAAGGGGCACCAGATATATATGCGCCGCACAAATCTCACTTGATTTGTGTGAGGGCTGTGATACTACCCAGGTGCCCAAACTAAAGCAGGTGGTTTTTTTAGGGGACCACACCCGGAGCCTTTGACCTAAAGGTCTAATCCACAAGGCAGTGGAGCATCGTGAGGAGATGCAGTTCCATGGTGGTCGGTGACCAACGATTGATTCATACGCCATTTGTTCCCTTAGGATACTGGAGCCCATGTGCACCATTGGTTTGGAATGAGGGTTTTCCAACTGCCCTAGGTGGACCCTCCGTGTCCACCAACCCGGACATCCCTGACAGAGGCTATATACGCGTGGCCATGTGAGAACGTTTCGAGAGGGAGAGCGGACTCTCCCCACTCTCGGCCGTACCAGGGCACTTGGGGGCTCAACCAGATGTTACGTAACATATAAGTGAGGAAAATCTGTTTATCAAATTTCACTTCCTATATGACTAACTTCAATATCAAAACATAGATAACTACAAATAATATTTATTTTATTTTGTGGTCATGTGATATTTTGATGTAACTGAGTTAATCACGCAGTTGTAATTCATAATTGACTAAGTAACTAAGGTCGCGTCTTGTGGATATTTTAGATTTATTTTGATTCATTTGCTAATAGATCGGCAAAGACTTTAGTAGGTTATAAATTACAGTACAGTGAAATGTAACTTAAGTTACAGTTTACAAGTGCAGTTACCTTATAAATATACTAAAATAGAGTATAATTTAACCAATGCAAATAAACTTGAACTATTTAATGTGAAATATTTTCGAATTAAAGTATCACATTTCCTTTAGAATGATTTCAATTTATCTCACCTCTAACCGCTTTTATACATATTTTTAAATGATCTCTTGGGCTATAGTTTACTCACCTCTCTTCATTAGGAGGATCGGCAGAGTTAATATTAAACACGAATATATGAACGAAGAATATTCTTTTCAATAAATACTCTTCAAATTCTACAATTAAATATATCCAAATGAATAATCCAAAAAGGTGATCAGGTTTAAGGCAAAGTATATCGTAGCATGTGAATTTTTAATTGCTGAAAAATTCCCATCATATTAAAACAATTATATGAACGAAGAATATTATTTTCAATAATTTCTCATCAGGTTCTACAATTATAAATTAATAATCCATAAAAGAAGATTGGCCAAGTTTAAGGCGGAGTACATCAATTTAAGAAACTGTAATATGTGAATCAAGGATTGTTTGTCATATAAAATAAAATAAGATCGAATCGTTAATGTTTTTGGGATGACTAAATCGTTAATGTTGGAGTTGACTAATATGTAGTGTTAACTTGAATCAGTTTATAGGTGAAATGAAACCGTAAGATAAATGATCAGAATATATATAGTTGACATGGGGGTGAGAGATACAAAAATAGGATTACAAATCGGAAATTACGTAATATGTAGAATAATATAAATTAGGTCAGATATAGTAGATAGTAGTGGATGATAAATAAATTTCTCTAAAAGGTTAGCAGGTGTGATAATAATAATAATGAAGATAATAATAATAATAATAAGAATAATGACTGATAAGATGTGTAGATAAACTAAGTTTAAGATACAGAAATGAACATTAATCAAATTAATATCACCATATTACAAAATTGATTATTAACAAGTTGACCCTGAAGTTGACCAGGGTAAAAGAAGCTGCTGTACATGTTTCTTTTGGATGCAGAGCTCTGGCTTTTTGATCCGAATAGCAATTGCCTCAGAATTTTTAATTATTAATTTGGATATATAATCATAGGATCCTAAGATGACTTATTGAAAACAATATTCACCGTTCATATACTAGTGTTTTAATATGATGGGGTTTTTAAACAATTAATATCTTTAACTTGTAAGTCGAAGTGGTAAGTGAGCATGTACAATTTGTGTATTTATTCGCAATTATTACCATTATTATTATTATCATCATTATTATTATTATCATTATTATTATTATTCTCATATCAGGAGTCAATTAAACAAGGCGTTCAGAAATTATCACGCGCTTATAATCTTGATTCAACAAATCCTATGGTGTTAAATCACCTAGCTGATCACTTTTTTTATAAAAAAGAATATGCTAAAGTTCATCGATTAGCTTTACATGCATTTTATAATACTGAAACGGAATCTATACGTGCTGAAAGTTGTTATCAAATGGCTAGAGCATTTCATATACAAGAAAATTATGATAATGCATTTCAATATTATTATTTGGCCACACAACTTGCTTCTTCAACATTTATTTTACCATTTTATGGTCTTGGTCAAATGTATTTACATCGTAATGACTTAGAACATGTAAGTGCTAATTTAAGTTATTTGCTTATCGTTTCTGACAACTATTTAAACTCATCGTTTTAAATACATAAATTGACTAATAGAAGTACTTTACAACTCAAACTCACATTTTTGATGACATTCCAAAAAAAACTCAGGAAATGCTTGTAGTCATTTACATAGGTAATACTGTTGTAACGGGAAAAATATTGTAGAAGTTGGAACTGATTTTACGATTTATAATTAACTATAATTTTGTTGTATAGCTATTAAGTAACTAGATTACCATGTCTATGTATTCCGTCTATCGTAAACTTCGGTTAAACTATTAAGTATAGTTACACGATTTACTGTTCCTAATTTGTGAACAGTCCTTTACTCAAAGCCTCTGCTACTTATAGCTACCTTTGGCTTATTCATATATAATTATAATTTTTCATTTTAAGATGTGATATGGTCTGGTGTATCTGTTTATAAACAAGGTCTGTTTGAATTATGTGTACAACGGAGGCTGGTTGTTACTTTTGGACTCCAAGAAGAAGATAGAGAAGGGAATGGGAATAACAGATCAATAGGGACCTAGCTGCGTCGGCCACAGGTCAATGGAGCTGATGTCACGTGCAATTGGCCAGTTTAGGGATGCTAGGCCCTCTAGCAAGCAGTAGACGTGAAATAAATCAAATCAGGATTCTGATTGGTGACTTGACACATGACATAAATTAATCGATTTTTGATTTTTGTCTTCTCGATCTTGAATTCCAGTATTCCTTCATATCATACTTTTCTATTGTCCTTTAGAATCGTATTCCGTTTTCAGTCGCAAGAGTTATGTGAATGTTTATGTCATTGATGTTAGGGATAATATCGAGACATTTTACACAGGATCCACATATGCCAAAATCGACTAGTCAGCTATAGTCCTTAATATCAACAATGAAAAGATACAAAAAACCTTTAAAAGTAGATTAAAATTCACTTCGTTGAACAAGCCATTGATAATCTGGTTTAATTAATTAAGTGGATAACGCATTGAGGATTTCAAGCAAAGGGTACTGGGTTCAAGCTACTGTGTGAACATCAACACTCATGTGCAGTTACATCCAGCTAATGAGTCCTAGATAGGACAAAACGTTCTCCTTGGATTCCGGTGATAACCACCATTCATCTTTGATTAAAATCTATTACTAATATTCAGTTGTTCTCATTATCATTGCTACAACATCATTTCGTTATCTTGCATCTCATCTTGTCAAGCTAATGTGTTCTAGCAACTTGAACCGACCCACATCTCTGATAGGTTTTACTTTGATGATAACTGATAATTTTTGGTTATCGACTTCATTTGTACTAAATTTTCATATTCATTATTCCCAATCGTATTATTTACATGTATATGCACTATTGAAAACCCTGTAATTATTTCTTTCTGACTTTTCAATTAGGCTGCTATGTCATTCGAACGTGTATTAAAAGATAATCCAAATAATTATGAAACTTTAAAAATACTAGGTAGTTTATATGCTCAATCTAACAAGCCAGATAAACGTACACAATCAAAACAATTATTTAAACAAGTAAGATTATAGTAATATGGTTGTTTATTTTCAACAGTATCTGATAATGGAATTGTTTAATCTTACTCTCTTTTCCTAGTCTAATCCAGTAAACTTATTTCACTGTATATTTTTAAAAAGACTATACATAAATAAATGTTATGTTTAAACAAAATATTGAATCATATATGAATCATTGTATGATTAAAATTTAAATTGATGTAACTCATTCATTGTTATTTAAAACAGAGAAGATACAATATATTAGATATTATTTGTTAGCGAGACATAGATTGGATTAAAGTATGTTTCATTCACGATTGTGTTGCTGCACGCTGATTGGCTAATTCTTATTCAATCAGCTCTAGTCGATGCTTGAAGAAGACTCTAGCATATTCTCATGTAAAATCTATAAATATACTAACGTATTTTTTATTGCGCTTCTTACTTCCATCTATCCTTGTTATTCGGAATATAATTTCTTCCCTGTTCAACCGTGTTCTGATTTAGGGACTTGTCGAGCGTATTAATGTCCAAGATTACTAAGCAATAGGAATAGCTGGGTCATAATAAGGAGCATATATTAAATAGTTATAACATTATTAAAAATGAATAATAGAACAATTATATAAAAATAATTAAATGTTACTAATTCAATCATAAAATGATTGATTCAACAAATGAATCCTATACAACAAGTTCATTTACAAAAACTGTACAATTATAGAAGAAATATAAAAAGAAAAAAATTAAACTAAGAATAATAAAAAATTTACCACATATAGACAAATGGAAATAATCATAATCAAATACAGATTTAAAAGAGAATTTTATGGTATTTGTGCTAGTAGATGTCGCTATTCGATTAAAAGACATATTGAATTTATAGTGGAATCATTAGTGAATTCAACACTGAGTTATATGTAGAATACTTCTCAAATCATATAGTTGTTGAATCTCTCTCCACGTAAAAGTCTTTAATGAGAGGATTCACTTCATCTCAAGATGTCATATATATAAATATTTTTCTTATGACAAAAATGTTAGATCCATTTAAAATTTGTCTTTTAGTTTGTGCTGTAATTAGTGTATGCAAAATTTGAAAAGAATGAACTGATTTTATAATAAGAAATGTGAATTGAATTCATTTATTATTTGTTTAAATTTATGTACAGAATTAATGTAAATTAAAAAAAACATCCAAAGATGGGAATGTGTTTATTAATTTTCTCATTTTTCTAAAAAAAGTAAGTTACTGAAAAACAGATTTGAATTGTTCAAGAATCATTCAGTTACAGTTAGATCAACACATATATAGTTTTTGCTCAAAAAATCAATCCAATATAAAATTTATTTACTGTGAAAAAACCTACTGTTTTTTTGGTTTTTCTCTTTTGTCGATTTCAGGGAAAAAAGTCCTATTTATGACTAGTTTCTTTCGTGATTATTGATAATTGTTTATATGATAAGTTTATCGTATTCTCCTTCACCGCGTTAGATGCCAGTTCAGTGGTCTAAAGGTTAAGCATCCGCGCATGTGACCGAAAGCCCTGAGTTCGATTTCCGCGTGTGGAATCGTGAATTCACAATGTTGAGTATTCCCACCGTAGACCGAAACGGTCATTCAATGTTTTCAGGTTTTCAGTGGTGGTCTTACTTAGATCGGTTCATAATTTCAATGAAAGTTGTTTTTGATTTACACAATTAGGTAACTGAAAGTCAACCGGAAGATGTCGAAGCATGGATTGAATATGCTCAGTTATTAGATAACGATATTAATGGAGCTTTAGATGCTTATTCTAAAGCACTAACAATTTTAGAAAATATTCAGCTGGAAATTGCACCAGAAATTTTAAACAATATTGCTGCACTTTATTTTATAAAAGGCGAATATGATAAATCTTCTGTAAGTATATATTACTATTATTTTTGTGAAAACTAATTGTTGTCATTGTTATTTAATTATATGTAAAAGTGCGATATTGAAAACTCTGCACGAAAACACACACCAAACAAAGTAAAGGAATCTGAACACACCTATCTCTATTCTTCCTTAAACCAGGAAGTGAAGTTGAGCAAACGTGTCTAATTTTAACATTCCTTCCCAATTTCATCATTTATGGAATATTACAAACAGCTCCAAAGGAAGTGATGGATGGTAGTGTGTGTATGTTAAAGAAAAAGATTTATATATTTTGCTATTTATATGATACCATTTACTGTAAAGTAATATACAGGTCACCCAGTCACTTAATTAGGACCGGGAAGTATAACAGACACTCAACACTATCAAAGTGTAAAGTAGTTTTATATGATTAATAGCAGTAACTTATGCCTACATTTACCCCTTGTGATGAACCATAGGAAAGAGTTGAGTGATTAATATGCCTGGACTAGTGTGTTATTGTTGATAACTATTTGACAGAAAAGACCAGTCTTCATTCAGCTTGGCCTTTTTAATTATTCCCAATATTTTCACTTGAATAACAGACCAGGCGTTTAGTATGTGTACATAGAAGTGGAGTTGGAACCTCAGATCATAACACTAACATAAGTTTAGGTTGAACCAAAGCTTGAGCAGTGGGCTAATCAAAACATGGTACTAACCCATAATGTTAGTGACTACTATTTTAATCCATGTTGAATGGTGTTGACTTCGTGGTTGTAGTATACTCCATACTTGTAATCCAAATGGTTGCAGACGGTAAATAACGTCACTTACCGCTCACTACTGGGTTATTTTCATAAATTCATTCTATTTTACTCCTTTGATTTTGTATCCGACCGTAGGAAAGCCCCACAGCTCAAGACGTTGGCTGATATAGGAGTAGGTTGGAATTAAGCTAGAGGCTTTTAAATCGAGATGTGACATCAGTCTATGAAGTTATTGACTTTTGGACTGAGCTATGTAGGTAGGTTCACACTACCAGGTTGACGTCCGTACGATTATCGTAATCAATAGTCAACGACTCTGATAAAATGGCTTAGAATCTTTTACAAAGGTGCAAGTGCATTTGTCTCCTCTTAAAGTCTGAGTTTTAAAATCATTTTACATCTTTTTTTTCATGTATTTATTCTCAGATCATGTTATTCTTTCCACTAACTGCTCTACTACTCTGAGATTTGTTTTGATAATTTCATATCTCTCTGCTGATATGGTCTGGAAGCTTCAAATGACACATATATGTACTTCGTCCTACATTGTGTATGACTGACTGATCGACTGTCTGGTCGCCCTCTTTCCTACACCTAGATATTGAGTTTCAATATTATTTCAATTTACTCCATGAATTCATCCCTTTTTTCAAATCATTTTCTCCAGCTTAGGTCTTTTTGACCATCACAATTTCTACTATTTGTTCAACTCCTTTGCTTATAGACCTTGTTGATTATCCCTCGTTTCGGTGATATCGTTTGGAAATTTGAGCCTATACGTGTTTTTGCTAACTCGTACACTGTTTTAACTAATTCTTTGACTGACCCATACATAATTATGCATAATTCTACATTTTCACGTAGGAATTTTTCACGCGTTCATATGACCGTATTCTTGAAGAGCAAAGAAATGAAGAGAATGAATGTGGTGGAGATAGTTCTGGATTAACTAACGATGACTACTATCATGGATTAAGTATTACAGTTCGTTATAATCAAGCAAGACTTCATGAAGCTCAAGGTAGATCAGATTTAGCTGAAGAAATTTATAAGAGTATTCTACTACGACATCCAAGTTATATTGAATGTAAGTTTTTAATGTGACAATTTTTTTTACCTTTTTGATTTTGTATAAAGCTGTTGAAGAGAGAGCTGAGTGGAGTGTTATTTTATTTCATTTATCTAAACATATAAACATGGGTACAAAGCGGCACCAAAAAATATGTGCGCCACACAAATTAGTTATCATTAAATTTGTGTATGGGCTTTTCGAGTGCCTACACCGAGGCAAATGGTTTTCTCAGGGGGCCGTTCCCTTATCCTTTGACCTAGAAACCTAATCCTTAATGCAATAGAGCAATGTTAGGAGATGCAGTCTCGTGGTAATCGGTGACCAACAAACGTTCATACACCATTGGTCAGGGTTTTCTAACTCCTGTAGGTAGATTCTTAGTACCCATCAACCCGGTTAAAGCACCGGACATTCGCTTTTTATCCTCTCAATCTCGTAAACAACACTCCTGCAGTGGATAGGACTTCCATAGCAGTTTATTTATATTTATTTAAACACATAAATATTGGTACAAAAAGCACCAGATAAATATGCGCCTCACAAATCTCATTTGATTTGTGTGAGGGCTGTGATACTGCTCAGGTGCCCAGACTGAAGCAGGCTTCCATAGCAGTAGCTATATATACACGTATATAGCTTCCATAGCAGTAGCTATATACGTGTAGCCTTATGAGAGCACTTCGGGAGGAAGAGCTGAACCCCCACCCCAGACGTCTGGGGACCAAATATCTTAAACTCGTGCAACTATCCTCTTATCAGAACTAGTCCTCTTTTTTTAAATAATTTGTAGAAGTAATTAATTGGGTAACTTTGTGATCTTCATTTTGGACTAGCAGTTTATTTATTTCCCGTAAGCAATGTTAATCATACCATCTTGGTTGAATAATTTTTGTGCATCAATAATCGGCTGTTCTTCCTCAGTATATATTCAGTCGAATAGTCAGTGATTCTGTTTATCATAATGTTATGTCCCTATAAGAATAGTGAATGGTAGTTTTGGGTCCATTTATGAACTAATACTATGCATATATATTTTATCGTATAATTGTTAAATAACTAAACTACTCATATTCGTGTCCACCTTATTATAGGCTTTATTTTGACTTATGAACTAATGTTATACGATTTACCATTCATGAATTATGCCCTGTCTATCATTTACTATCTCCCACATTCACAGCCACTTTTGGCTGAATCTTGTACAAATGTTATTTTCTATTTTATGGTACGATGTGGTCAGTTTGGCCGGTATATAAACTCAGTATGTTTGAAATATAATGATTCATACCGCAGAGGCTGTTATTGGTGTTCTGTACTTACCTGGTTGGGCTAAGCAGAAAGCAGGACCAACAAGTACTCTAGACTGCTCATACGGGTTTCATGTGTCACTGGTCCGATAGATAATTCACTGTTCTCTAATTGGCGGTATTATCACGTTAAGCATTAACAGGGCATCCAGGCGGCCACAAGTTATAACACATAAGTTATTTTATTGTGGGATCTGTTAATTGTATTAGTTACAAAATTATTATGACTTCCATTTTATCATCATCTAATGAGATCAATTGTATCATTAAAGCGTTAACGAAGTAATTCATCTACTGTAATCTGGGCAAACACATGTTTAGGTATCACCAGCTTTTAAGCGATAAACGTTTCACGCAGTTTACAATACAACTATCCAGATATTGATTTGTACCACTAAATATTGAAAATAGTTTTCTGTATAAGAAGGAAAATAGTAGTATCAATGGGAAAATCACGGAAAGATACTGATCATTAGACAAATGTTCCGTCATAGTTTACACCTACCTCTGTAGTTTACAATCATACTCAAAGTATCAAAGCTGGATTCATATTAATATGGTATTTTTTAAACTTTATTTAAGTGTATGATACAATCATTACAGTTTCATCGGTGTGTATCGTTTAATTTGGATGGTGATTAAGACCTCAGACTATTTCTTTAGAAAATTTATTTCGAGCTTGTCCCACCACCACTACTATTACTATTTGGTTTTCAGCGATTATCCACCTAACGGTATAAATTTATGGCAAAAACAACCTCATTTTTAATTAACCCCTTGCGAAACACTAGAATTAGTAAGTTGGTCACTTCTCAAGAAGTAGTGTTATGCACTATGACATTCTATTCAGAGTTAGGCTCCTTTTGTTTAGCAATTTAGTCTGTTGTTGTCAGGGGTTTGCAATTAAATGGTTAGAGATAGTCTGGAGAAAACCCTGGATGTTGGTTTCATGCTATTTGGCATTCATCAGCAGAGCATGCCTTCAGTCTTTGGGGAACTGGTGTCCCCTGTGAGACTTGAACCCGCGTTACCTAGCTTCTCAGTCTGAGAAGTTATCAATGAGCTATTCAGGCTGTGGCTGACCTGTAGGATTAAAATATATACAATGTGGCTTGTCCTATAAAATTTGATCGATACTGGAGGACTAGACAAATATGATATTAATCACCAACCAACGTTTAATTCATCGGAAGATTTTCCTAATCTCATGTTTTGAAATTCAAGACTGCAATTGTCCACTCTCTGTTTTCGTACGTGCATCCTTAGCTCACTGGATAGCACCTTGGTGTTTGAAGCGGACAGCACTAAGTTTGGGTCTCTGTGCGAGTATCAACACAGATGGAGGTAAATCCAGCTTAAAAGTCCCAACTAAGATAAAACACACATCCTGGATCCCACTACTGGCATCATATCGATCAGCTTTACTATGACAACTGAACCCCAATCAAATAACTTATAAATTTTCACTTGTAATCAGTCTCGCTATTTCATAATAAATTCATGTCTTGATCTAAGGTGTGTATGATAACTCGGACAGTTACACACTTCGTGCCAGGTTAGAGTCCTCTTACTTATCGTAATCAATGATTAAAATTGGTGGCTGACATACCTTAGAATCAGTCACAATGGCGCAGACGCATTCACATTTTGTCTTTATCTCTTTAGTTTTTAAATTGTCTTACACTTTTTCACCATGAATCCTTTCTTCTTAAATTACATTGTCTATGACTAATCTTTCTTAAAACCAATGATACTGATAATATCGCTACTTCAACTATACTAGGGTTTGTCTTGATAATTTCATCTTGCTGTGCTGTGGCAACTTGAACCGATTCATCTATGTGTCATATTCTACATTGTTCATGACTGAAAACTAGAGCTAGGTGTTGCGTTATTTATGACGGACTAATTTTATTTTTACTTAATTCAATGTGAATTAGGATTGATTGTGGATATTGTAATTATTATTTAAAATCATAGTAATGAATAATAAACAAATATAGAATAAAATTCTACTTTCTCCCCTTAAACAAACATGTAATCAATAACCAGGTTACCTCCGTTTGGGTTGTATTGCACGTGATCGAGGACAGATTCGTGATGCTTCAATTTGGTTCAAAGAAGCTTTAGATGTAGATCAAGTAAGTAATTGTTTCATTTGTTTTCACCTTTAGAGAGTATGCAGGTGCTAACGCGGTGTTGTTTGTTAGATGTGAATAACTTTGACTATTGCTTATTGTTAGTATCTTTTCAGAATTATTCAGTGTTAATTCATTCTGAGATGCTTTCATTTATTGCACAGACTCTTAGTTAATTTTCGTTAAAGCTATTTTTATTTCCTATTGGACTGAGAGCCTGCTTGTTTAATAAACGAAACTCTCAAAATAAATCGAAATGAGTTGTTTTGTCATAATTCGGATAGATATCGGATAATTACAACTCACATTTAACTGATTTAGTAATTAAAAACCCAGTGTGAATGACTCAGATCTATTGAACATTAAAGTTGACTGAGATCAAAAGTTGTTCTATCAGTAAGTCTGATCATTTTATACGCTTCATATATGCCTAATCATTGCAGAGTTTATCCAAGATCATTGAAACGACTATTACCAAACGAAAATGACAATCATTTCTCACCTTCGTTGTCTGAATATACCATATATTTTATTCAGGGAATCACACTTAAAAGGTTCATTTTCAATAGTTAATAATAAAGGTATACTTCTTCTGTGTTCACAGATGGACTTGATATAGGTGACTATTTGAACATTTGTGAATCCAATTCAATTTATGTATTTTCTGAAGAAGTGACTTACACTAAGCCACGAAACATCAGACACTCAACTTTCTACTAATTGGGACATTACAAATATATCATTACTTTTTATTATAGATCTTAGTGACTTTCAAGTTATTCAATGTTCGGAATCATTACCGGTAAAAGACATGTTGACATGAATTCACAGCTAACGCTCAACGTTATTGATTCATCAGTATGCAACTTTGAAGATATACTCACTTTGCATTTCTTTATGAATTACTCGTCTGACATATTTCTGCCTTCAAGCTACTATTTCTTCCCTAGAGTTCCCGAATGCCCTGGTACGACTGAGGGTGAGGAGAGTCAGCTCTCCCTCCCGAAATCCTCTTATTTGGCCACGCGTATACAGCTACTGCCGGGGAAGTCCTACTCACTGCCTTCTCGTGGCGAGGGTGTTGCTTACAAAATTGAGAGGAAGAAAAGCGAACGTCCGGTACTTTAACCTGGTTGGTGAATACGGAGGATCCACCTACAGGGGTTGGGAAACCCTGTCTTCAAACCAATGGTGCACTAGGGTTCAAGGATCCTGAGTGGACATAAGGTGTGTGAGCCTATTGTTGGTCACTGTCTACCATAGGAATGCATCTTCTTACGTTGCTCTACTGGTTTGTGGATTAGACCTCTAGGTCAAAGGTTCAGGGAGTGGACCCCTAGGGAAAATACCTGCCTCGGTTTGGGCACATGTGCACTATCCGAGCCCTTACACAAATCTAATGATTTATGTGGTGCATATATATTTGGTGCCTCCTTGTAACAATGTATATGTGTTTAGATAAAATTAATGAATAGAGTATTAATAGTATTGCAACATCTTTTGAAATAAAAAAATACAAAATTCATATTTCAATCTAAAAATGAATAATAAGGTGTAGAGTTATTCGAATGATGAGTCCCAATCGAGAAGGAATACTCGCCCTGGATTCTACTGCTCTAAGCTCATACTAAATAGACCAAAAATTAATCCTGCCTGTTCATTTTATTATATTTACATTACTAGCCAATACATTTAGATACTTTATCGTGACTCAGTTTACTGATTTTATCGGATTCCAAAGATAAGCGAACTTAATGACTTCGATTGATTGTTATGTCTCATAATTAAGTTGTGTAAGTCTTTTGGCTCTTGATTTTTTACCTTTAGTAGCATTTGTTTTCCCATTTAACGTGTCTGTAACCAGTTGTTTTATCCTTTTCATTTTTAATAATCTGCTTTACACACATTTCATATAGGATAACCCAGACGCTTGGACATTGATTGGATTATTACACTTAGGTAAAAATGAAGTTGAACAAGCCCAGAAGAAATTTGATCGAATTATCAGACAACCAGCATATAGAGCAGATGCATTTGCACGTATATGTTTAGGGAATATTTGGTTAACTACCCTACATCATCCTATCAAAGATAAAGATAAACGTAAAAGGCATCAGGTAGAGTTTCATCATTTTCTTGTATGTTTCTTTCTTCCTCTTGTTGTTTTGTCATTGTGAAGATTTCAATTATTCTAAAATTTGATTATAAACTGACTGATATTATGTTGACAATCATTGAAAACTTATCAGGGAAGCACTAGGGAACAACTGCTTTGTCATAATATGGAACTGTTCAGCTCTATGCCTACAAGAGAATGAAAACAAGATCTTCAAGCTTCACAGCCAGTGCGTTATCCTTGGACCACTGAATCAGTGGCGTCCAATGATTCATATTTCCAATCTCATTTTTTTAGGTTGTAGGTGAGTGCACAACTCTGAAGAGTCATGTATTAGGACAAAACACCTCGTACTTTCCCCTAGTTTTCTGTAGTTAACAATGGTAATGTTAGATTTATTCAATACTAAAAGTTTTGCCAGAGTAAAGAATCTTCGGCACCAATTGTGCCACATTACACCAAATATTTCTTCAACATTCATTGACATTGTAATTGTTCAAAACATATTTTGCAGGCGTTTTTAATAGTTCGAATTTGCCGTCTGTATTCAATCACTAAATTTTCTGACCAGTTCAGCTACTACACTCACAATCTCTATCAGTTATGTGTACGGTACTTGAATCCCAAAATATTTGTTTGTCGTTTTGTCAAAGGATAGATAAAGAGAGAAATTTACACAGAACTGTGATGTTTCCGTTTGAGTTTTACAGTATTTAGATTCACAATGTTTTGTAATCCTTACATAAGATAACACGTGATTACGTACAGTTATCATTCATAATTATTCAATTCGATAAAATATAAAACAGGTAGGTGAATTGCAATATTTTCACAGTTGTGACATAACTTATTGTCAAATTAAAAAGTCTCCACAAACCTCTGACCCTTAATAATTCAAATCCTCACTAATAATGATATACATGCCACCTGTTAAATAAGTTTGTTACTATCTGAACCCAGTCAGTAGCTTAGTGGATAACGCGTTGCTTTTTGAAACGAATTCTACTGTGTTCGAGTCTTAATGTGAATATAAACACTGATATGTAATAACATTCAGTCGTCAATTGCTAAATAGGACGAAACGTTCATCATAGATTCCACTGCTAGGCACAACCCACCTCTTCAATAGAACTCTCATACTAATTTTCTAAGATTGTTTATGACTTGTAACAAAGCAACAATGTCCAATAATAATATTTATTTTATTTTAATTAAACACATAAATATTGGTACAAGGGAGCACCAAATACATATGCGCCGCACAAATGTAATTCAATTTGCGTGAGGGCTGTGATACTGCCCAGGTGCCCAAACTGAAGCAGGTGGTTTGCTTAGGGGGCCACACCCGGAGACTTTGACCTGAAGGTCTAGTCCACAAGGCAGTGGAGCATCGTAAGGAGATGCAATCACATGGTAACCAGTGACCAACGATTGATTCATGCGCCATTTGTTCCTTCAGGATACTGGAGCCCATGTGCACCATTGGTTTGGAATGAGGGTTTTCCAACTGCCCTAGGTGGACCCTCCGTGTCCACCAACCCGGTTAAAGCGCCGGACATTCGCTTTTCGTCCCCTCACTCTCGTGAAAAACACCCCCACCACGAGAAGGCAGTGAGTAGGACTTCCCTGGCAGAGACTATATATTCGCGTGGCCATGTGAGAGAATTTCGATAGGGAGAGCGGACTCTCCCCACTCTCGGCCGTACCATGGCATTTGGGGGCCCAATAATTGTTCCAATAATAATAATAATGTATGTTATATATTCATATTAATAGTAGCTTCATTGGACTCATGAAACTATCAATGTTAAGACACTATTGAGAACCTGGGAGCATTGGACGGCCGTTCCGTCCCACCACGGGACTTCTCGCCAGGGTGCATTCACAACTCCACACGCAATAACCGAACCCTAGGGCCTTTGGCTTCGCGCGCGAACATATAATAATATAATTGTTTGTTGCCCGTCCACTTTTGTTGACTTGTTAAATAACATTGAAGAACAAAATTCACGGTCCCCAACTAAGAAATAAAGTATATATATATATATATATATATATATATATATATATATATATATCACCTTGACAAACTTTTCATCATGTGCTTATCAGTGACTAATTTCCTGAATCCTATTGAAAATCCGTGACTAGTAGATTTCATTTGCATCGGATGTAAAGTAGTTACTTGCGAAAAAGAATGAGTAATCGTTGTGCAATCTCGCCAACCGATTGGTGTTAGAAATGTATGACCTTGGATGCCAGCTATGGCCTCAGAAACCTGAAGACCCTAGGTTCGATCGGCAGTGAGTTTGTAGACATGAACTGCTGAACAGTCTCGTACTAGAACGAAACAACTATCCAGGGTTCTCTGGTTTTCAGTGGTTATCTAAATTAGGTCGGTTCGCAATCTCAGATATCATTAAGACAATGCAATTTAGTACATATATCACAGGACACGTCTTAGTGTACATGCTGTTGACATATTCAGAAACACGTTTCATTCTATATTTTTGTAAGCCAATGTTCTACCTCTACTTAAATTCGTTCGCAATGGAAACACAATAGTACTTTAGTTTAAATATTTCCTACATAGTTTTGAAAATGACTACTTTTTACCCGTAATTGTGAACTTGTCAATTGTATGCAATTGATAACATTTTAGCATGACAGACAAATATATCCTACAATGTAGTGCCCTTATCGGGCGATGCGTACCTGATGCATGGGTTAGTTTGAATTACTCTAGGGCCGATTAAATGAAAACATAGAATCAATCTATGAAGTGAGTGACCTCTAGATTGAGCCATGTAGATAGGTTCAGACTACCAGGTTGATGTTCGCGTGATTATCGTTACCATTGGATGATATGGCACAGAATCTTTTTTAATGGCGCGGGTGCTCTCTGTCTACCCATAAAGCCTGGATTCTTTGATTACTTTGAAAGTTTATCTGTCCCATCTGTTCAGATTTTCTGAGTCTTATCTTTTCGGCTTTCATTAATATTTATACTTACCACTACTTTGGCACCTTGCTGTGTTGATATGATGTTACAACCTATTTACCAGGTTCTACGTTGCGTATGACTGCATGTAGTGTTCCATCTACCCCTCCTATACACTCAGTAATCCATACTGTGCAGTTTAAAAACTGCTTGTAAGGAATGGATGAATACAATTTAAAACTCTTTAATGAAAGTAAATAAAGGAAGATGGTAAACAAACCAATAGAAATAATGAATGATATCGAAAAGATAACATTCTTCGATTAAATTTGCATTACTAGAAAAACTGTAGGCTAATAAATACGACAGTTTACAATAAACAAGAAAACAGAGATTTATCCAGTAGCTCATTTTAACCTTAATAGTTCACCTTGCACTGTTTTCTTGTTACCTACCACAATGATTTTTTTTAAAGAAAAAGATTTTTATTTTTTCCAATTAATTTAGGATCGTGCATTATCTTTCTATAAAGCTGTTCTATGCGCTGATCCTAGAAATATATGGGCTGCACATGGTATTGGTTGTGTATTAGCACATAAAGGATTTGTTAATGAAGCTAGAGATGTATTTGCACAAGTTCGTGAGGCAACAGCTGATTTCCCAGATGTTTGGATTAATATTGCACATATTTATGTTGAACAAAAACAATACACTGCTGCAATTCAAATGGTTTGTAGTTTATAAAATTGTCATTTTGTTTTTTGTTCTTTTTTTCTTGTCATCATTATTGTCATATTCATATAATGAATATTTATAGTTTAATGGCTGTTTCTGTTTAAACGCTTGTTATTCTATCCATATTTTTACTTATATTAACTTTCGTTGTTTGTTTTTTTGATGTAGTATGAAAATTGTATTAAGAAATTCTCTCGACAGAATAATACAGAATTGTTACAATATTTGGCTAGAGCACATTTTAAAGCCGGTCAATTGAAAGAATGCAAAACTATGCTATTAAAGGTAACTATAATTGTTAACCATATTCACTTTATCTGTTTTCTTTTTTTGTTCTTGTTTTACTACTGCAAAACTATGATTCTATCTGTTGTCTGCAAACATTTGTCCTTTTTTCACAATGATATGACATAACTTTCTATTATTTCTTTAAAAGCTTTACTAATATAAGTAATTGACTCACAAGTTTCGCTTGCAATTTTATTAAGTGTTAGTCAGACTTTCTAGTTTGAGCGACTTAGCTTAGTTTATGGGAAATTAAACTATAAATAAGATTTAACAGCTTAGATTGTTTACATTGTTTATTATTTTTAACCTAAAATAGCAGCAGTGCATATTACTGGGAAAGGAGTTGTTATCGAACTGTTCATCAAATGTATGATTGCGTAATAGGTGTTTAACTTTGTTCATGGAACAATTGATGAAACTTTCGCATATCGTACTGAATGACTCCAAACATAACTGTCATACCTTGGTGTGGAGGGCGTGTTGTATAGGCTGTGATAGGTGGTGTCGTGGTGAGATGCTTCTTTCGGATGACTAGCATCTGTAGTGATACTACCTTCCCACATCAGAAAGAGGTTGATAAATGTCGGTCCTAAAAATACCACACTAATTTCCGTCTTCAATGGTGAGGCCTTTAAAGTGCGAAGCCAACATATCACGGACTACTCACAAAAAGCTGTAGATGGCCGTCATCAGTCAGTTATTCTTTGGGTTCTATGGTCACGATACAAAGGTTGTCAAGACTGTTTTAACTCAGTTTCCTTTTTGGTTCCCTCAAGATTAGATATCTCACAATGGAATACTCAGTGAGTGACAACCGCCTCTACCAACACCCAAACTAATCTTAATTGATATTTACTACCAAAGTCATAAAGTGTGACGTCCGGATCATAGTTGAAATCATCGATACTGTTAGCAATACCGAAAACAGAAGGCATAGTACAAGTTCAGGAACAACTCGAAATAGTTTGTTATAATATTGTATTTTATTGTCCTTTTTTACTACTTTAATTTGCTTCTGTAGTAGTTGTACAACCCCTTTCTTTGGACAATGAAGATAGTCGAATTTTCACCTCTCCCATGCTTCTCCATCAAGCTAATTCAAATCTTGACACTTCAGTTATTGTCAAATTAACATATAAATATAATAGCAATATAACAATAAAATAGCAAATTAAAAAAGCCGAGGCACCAACAGCTGAAAAGCGTGTTCGACCTCAATATATGAAGAACTCGTAACGTGAAGGATTTTGATGATGTTAAACTTAAATTAAAAACCATAGTGCAAGTAATTAACTATATATTAAATAATACAACCAGTTTTCAAGTGTAGTTACTAATCTTTGTTATTGCTACAAGAACGACTAATCTCTTTGTCTAAAAAATGATTTTTTTTCATGTCATGTAAAAATAACATTTATTCTGTTTAAAATATGATAGGCTCGTCATGTTAAACCATGGGATCCTGTATTGACATTCAATTTGGCTTTTGTTCAAAAAAGATTAGCTGTTACTGTACTACAGGATGAGACAAGCAGTTTCTCATCTGTTTGTGAAGCAATAGCTGATTTAAATATGGCCAGATGGTAGGTGGAAATTGCTGTAGAACACCCTGTTTCTCTTAACATTATAATCTTTTTTCATGATATCAGTCACACTGTTTTAAAGGGTATGATTATGCCTAATGTTTTCTATTTGGTATAAGTATATTGTATCTATAACTTTGAACCATTCCTCCATATTTTTTAGTGGATGACAACTTCAGATTTCACTGTAATTTCCTCTACAGAATTTATTTCAAGGGTCTAATGTTTGCTATACCCATAATACTGTAATAAAGCTAAACATCACTAACAAAAAAACACTCAAATATAATGAAGTTCACGGTTTAAAGTGAAATATAGCACTCATCAAACAAGTGACCGAAAGTATGGGATACAACAAACTTATTGAACATTGCAAACGTTGCAGATAAAGTCAGCTCATAGTATGCTATATCATGAATATATATAAATATAAATAATTCTAATTAAAATCGAAATGAGTTAAAACATTATTGACAAGAAGTAAATGAATGCGTAGTCATCCATTCAATGGTTGATGCATAACCAAGAATAGGATATAATATAAAAGCAGATAGACAGTTTGATTAAGAAAATAATCCAATTTACAATATTGACTTTCGAGTAGTTCTGCTCTAGAATGTACTTTTTTTAGTTTTCTCAAACTATTCAGTACGAAGTATAAAGCAGATCAACTTTTACCACATTCGACATTTTTTGATGTCATGCATCACCTTTATTAAAATAGCGAATATTTTTCCCACCAGTTCAATATTTAAAGCTAAAACTTTCTGCGCACATATTCAAGAATCACATAACAATTATATTGTTTAAATTGGTAAACTTTCTGTATATAAATGTGAATATATTGAAGTCTGAAGATATGTTGGCAGATACAGATTACCTGGTTGGGGTCCGCGTGACTATCGTAACCAATGGTTGGAGACTCTGGGTGACATGGCTCAGAATCGATCACAATGGCGTAGGTGTATACACTCTTTATCTTCCCTTAAACCTTGAGATTGAAATTGCTTCATAACTTTCTTCCTTCCTGTACTATATCCTTATATACAACCTATAATTTATATACTACTACCACCACTAAATTAATTACTTCTATGAATCCGGTGTTGATCTTGTTGTGCTAATGAGGTATGGTAACTTGGACCGATGCATATATGTGCCTGGTCCTACGTTGTAGCTGACTGACTGACTGAAGATATAATTAAATTTCCAACCAGATTTTAATCAGATACATTCTAAATTTCTATTAACACTGATCACTTAGTCTTAACTTCAGTTTTACTTTTCAGCGTTCATAGTAATGCAAGAATTAAAGACAACATGTATCGTAAGTCCAGCATACACATCTTTAAAGTATCGTGGTTATTAGATTCTTGATCTGTTTTCTTCACAGTTAGTTACATACACCGTAAAAAAATGATTAGTAAATTGTTTTTAACATTTTCAAGACAGTCAGAAAAATGATTTATGCGAATAACATGAATTCACTTCGTTTTGTTAGGTTCTTGCCAGTTCCTTACAATTTATACAAATGAACCTGTTAGGGACTGATGAAAACCTATCACAATCCAATTAATTGATGTTATTCCATCTAAATCTTTATTCTGGATTTCAAGTAAATAAAAGGAACTTTGTTTTAACATGGCTATGTTATTTGAATGGAAACTATAAATATCATTTCGTAATTGTTCTCGCATTTCAGTACATTTAATCATTTGTCGAAATTGAATGAAGTGTTAAATCAAGCTATGGCGGCTGATGAAGCTCGTATCTGTCAAGATCTACTAAGTCAAGCTAAATATCATCTTGATAGAGCTAAATCACGTGAAGAACAAGAACGAGTTGTTCGAAAACGTCAAGTTGGTTCAATGTCATAATGTTAACATTCAATTATTATTTCTTCTTTTGTATAACATATTTCAAATTTATATCACTTTACATCATCACAACACTATTGAAACAATAACTTTGTTAATATAGAATAGATGGATTGTGGCTAACAGTGGAATCCAGGGCGCACGTTTCGTCCCTTTTGGGACTTGTCAGCTGGATATGCCTACATCCAAGCATCAACACCGGGATAATTCAAACTATTTCAAATTGGGCTAAATCTCATACCTGTTGTACAAGTAAGTGGCTACCTGCACTCAGTAGATAATTGGATAACTCAGCGGCAAACAGTATTGGGTTCGAGTCTCGAAATGAACATTAACCCGAGGATGGAATTACATCCAGCTAACAAGTCCCAAACAGGATGAAACGAGCATCCTGGATTCCACTGCTAGCCACATCCCATCTATTTTATATCAACTTGTCATAAAGGGCATATCGAGACAAGCCGCACAAGATACTTATGTGCCAACCAAGACCGATCAAATTTCAGTCCAAAATACCAGGAAAGGGATAATCCAAACCATTTCATATTGAATTAGCTTTGTTAACAATTAACGCTAAAAATCAGCTTTGCAGTAAAAAATTAATTGGTTAAGTTCATTAGGTACTTCTCCAATCTTCGTCGCAGCGAAACATGGCCGATAAGAGTAGAGGATATTCGTAGGCTACTAGTATCCCATCATAGGTGTCTTCGACGCATTGCTCGTATATCCTGGGACCACCAGGTAAGTAATGTAGTTGTTAGGGAACGGGTACTAGGTAAGGATGGCAAATCGGTTGATGAAGTAGTGAAACTTCATCAGTTGAGATGGCTGGGACAAGTGTTACGTATGCCCAACCACTTACTGCCCCGACGTGCAATGTTTCATGGTGTAGGAGTAGGTTAGAAGAAAGCTAGGGGCGGCCAGACCAAAACATGGCACAAATCCATGAAGTCACTGACAAGTGGACTGAGCCATGTTGGTAGGTGTAGACTACCTGGTTGGGATTCGCGAGACGATAGCAACCGATGGTTAGAGACTTTGAATGATATGGCTCAAAATCGTTTGCAATGGCGAAGGTGCATCCACTCTTTGTGTTCTACCAAATTCTAAAATTCTGAATTCTTCATGTCCCTATCCTTTTTCTCTTTTCAAATTTATTTCACTGTATTATACTCCTTCAATAACATCTTCAAACCCTAATCTTTCACACAATGCTTATACTCTTACTACTTCTACCACTATGAGATTTGAATCGACAACTGCATCTCTGTGTTAATGTGGTATGGCAACTTGAACTGATGTACGTACGTACGAAGTTATACATTGTGTCTGACTGACTGAGGACGACATGAACTGACTGAAAGAAAAGAAAGAGAATGGTGAGAGACTTGCAAATTTATGTCCATCCAACAAAATGATCATACGTGGCACAATATTCCCTCAAAAAAGCACACACAAAACTGTATGGGTCTCACCGCATCACACTACAGAGAACCAGACTGACCATATTTGCACCAATAATGCATTCATAAGGTAAATGAAAGACATGAGGACCAGTAGAGGAGCTGACATAGCTTCAGATCACGATCGAAGAAATCAGGATGGCCATCAGATGAATCAATAGGTGGAGAAGCAGGAGGACCTGACAACATACCAGCTGAAGCACTGAAGTCAGACATAGAAGTAACTGCAAACATGCTTTGCATTCTATTCAGGAAGATTCGGGAGGAGGAACAAGTGCCGATAGACTGGAAAGAAGGACACCTCATCAAGATACCAAAGAAAAGAGATCTGAGGAAGTGTGACAACTAACAACACAGACATCACATTGCTATCGGTACCAGGAAACGTTTTCAAAAGACTGTTGCTGAACCGTATGAAAGACTCAGTAGATGCCCAACTTCGAGATCAACAGGATAGATTTCGTAAGGATCGGTCGTGCACAGACTAAATCGCGACACTGGGAATTATAGTTGAACAATCAATTTAATGCTACTCGTCAATATACATCAACCTCCTTGACTATGAGAAAGCATTCGACAGTGTGGATAGGAGAACACTATGGAAACTTCTTTGACATTATGTAGTGAGTAACTGAAAATATCAACAACATCATACGGAATTCATACGACGGACTACACTGTAAAGTCATGCATGGAGGACAGCTGACAGATGCATTCCAAGTAAGGACCGGCGTCAGACAAGGCTGCTTACTCTCCTCCTTTCTCTTCCTCCTGGTGGTCTACTGGATTATGCAGCATGGAATAAGTTGGACAAGTTGAGTGCAACTAGACGATTTCGACTTCGCAGATGATTTGATCTTCCTACCCCATACACACCAACAAATGTAGTTGAAGACAACCAGTGCAGCAGAAGTCTCTGCACCAGTAGGCCTCAATATACACAAAGGAAAAAACAGGGTCCTCAAATACAACACGGAGAACACCAAGTCAATCACACGTGATGGCGAAACTCTGGAGATGTGGAGACATTCACGTACCTGGGCAGCATAATCTACGAACAAGGAGGATCTGATGAAGACGTGAAGGTAATAATTGCCAAAGCAAGGGCAGCATTCATGCAGTTGAACAACATATAAAACTCCAAACAACTGTCAATCAGTATCAAAGTGAGAATCTTCAATACAAACATCGAAATAATCCTATTGTATGGAACTGGAACTTGGAGAACTAGCATAACCATCATCAAAAATATACAAGTATTTATAAACAGTTATCTACACAAGATACTCAATTTCCGTTGACTGGACACCAGCAAAAACCTACTGTAGTGGAGAGCAAATCCAGTCTCCATCTGAAGAGATTAAAAGACGATGGAAGTGGATAGGACATACATTGTGGAAATCACCAAACGGCATCACGAAGCAAGCGCTAACTTGAAATCCTGAAGGGAAATGGAAAAGAAGGCCAAAGAACACGCTGCATCGGGGATGGGAAATCGACATGAAAAGGATTACCCAGGACGAAGTTCGGTGGAGAATGCTAGTGGGCAGCCTATGCTCCTCTACGAGGGGATAAATCGTTGATCAGTCGCAGACCATAGGTTGAATATATCAGTTTTGTCTGATAATATTAATAATAACAACAGTTTGTTTTATACTAATTTACAGTCCTCTGAAATGCCGTTGTTAAAGTTGGAATGCGTAAAAACATCTGCAACTATCCAATTATTAGCATTGCTTATGTATAATTGAGACAGCAGTATTGATGAAATCACATACTAAATGATTTGTAGAAAATGCAACATTCAGTGAATGACGTTTTGAATACGCACATTTGTGACAACGCCTGGTAAGTTTTTCCCTAGTTTAAGAGTTGTCAATATCAACCAAATAATGGTTTGTATTGAAACACATAAGCTACATACAGCAACGTTTTTGTGGCAGGTTTCCTCTCTTTACTGGACGGGTTCAATCCCATGCTCAACCCTCCTGTATGTGGCCTTAGGGCTGTCAGTGACCATAAAGGGGCACCAGGAGGAGTCATAGCATATATGCACTTCTGTAGTCATTCTATAGGTTGAAGTTATGCAAAGTGAGAAATACTTGACATAACAAAGATTTAATGTATTCGTGTGAATTTTATTTTAAACATACGTTTGGTAGAACGGTAGTTGTTTTTTCTCCCTTTGTGTTTATTGTCAAATAAGGTAAGTCTTAAGTTCAATCACTTACTTATCAAACAAACTTTCATCGTTATGTGTGTTTGGATGGGGGCAAGGGGAGATTATTTAGAAATTCTGTCTATATTTCCCTTATTATAATATTTTTTTCTCAACTTTAGGAGGAAGAACGTGAAGCACAACGTAAACGTCAATTGGAATTACAACAACAAGCTGAACAAATGCGACTTGATCGTGAACGACGTTTAGAAGAAGAACGTGGACGTTTCTTGGAGAAAGCTAAACAAATTATAATTGAACCAGTTGTAGAGGTTTGTGTTGTTTATTTTCCTCATTTTTAAAATTCGGTTTGCATAGATCTCGTAATATCGGCTGCTGTGTTTTTATGATAAAAACCATTTCATTTAACATTTTGTAGTACCAGAGTACACCTACAAATGTTTACTTTAAACGAACAGATTAGCATTTTGGTAGAAATTAAGCACTCAACAAAGCACTTTGATAACAACTGAGTAGGGTGATATATCGATAGCTTTCAATATAACCAATGCACTTTGAATCTGACTATTCAAACTTCCATTTCATAATTAAGTTATGTCAATGATTATTAATCTCGAACTAGCGTTTCATACTTCTTAGGTCTAAATATCACTAATCTTGGAGGTTTGATCATCATTAATGGGTTGGTCTTTGACGATGTCGTTGCACGGATTCGAAAAGCTCGTTTGGCTTTTGCCAACCTATGGCGAAGGCGAGATATCTGTCTATCAATTAAAGGACGAGTATACTGCTCGACAGTTCGTTCTGTTCCACTTTAAGACTACAAAACGTGGCCATTAGGGGTAGAGGATACTCGTAAGTTAATAGTATTTGATCACAGATGTCTTAAAAGTATTGCTCGTATCTGCTGGGATCACTGGGTAAGTAATAGTGAGGTTAGATGCAGGGTATTGGGGAATGATGGCAAACCAGTTGATGTGGTCATGAATCTTCATCGACTGAGATGGTGGAGCCACGTGTTACGTATGCCTGAACACTGATTACCACGACGCGCAAATGCCGACTAGTATCGGGGATGGTTGAGAGTGAGGGGCGGCCAAACCAAAACATGATATCAGTGCTTGAAGTTACTAACTTCTAGTCTGAGCTTTGTTGGTAGATGCAAACTATTTGGTTGAGGTCCGCGTGACTATCGTAACCAATAGTTGGAGATTCTGGGTGACATGGCTCAGAGTTGATTACAATGGTGTAGGTGTATACACTCTCTGTCTTCCCCTAAACTGTGAGATTAAAGTTGCCTTATATCTTTCTTGCTATGAACTAATTATTTCTCCCTGTATCATGTATGTCCTTATATACAATATTTATATATATATTACTACCATTGAATTAATTGCTTCTATAAATTTGGTGTTCATCTTGTTCTGCTTTTGAGTTGTGAGAACTTGGACCGATGAACATATGTGCCTGGTCCTACGTTTTAGATGATTAACTAAATATTAATTGCGTATATATATATATATATATATATATATATATATATATATATATATCATTCAATTTACTGCAACATTCAATGAGTATTTGGTAAAAGTATAGTATAGGGACGGGAGAATTAGGATCAAGGACGTTACTTTCACGTTATTGTGCAAAGTTCAAATACCATGTATAGCAAACAGTAAAAACACTTTTACACACTGCTCAAAACGTATAAAATAGTGGCGAAAAATTACCCCCTGCCACTACAGAGTAAAAGTGATAGTGTTAAAAGTATCAAATGTCCAATTCTGTCTTAAGGGTTGTGTAAAACAGCTAAATCGGCATTAACCTTAAATTCTGGAACAAACCTTAACTTGGTGGTACTACATTTGACGAAGAAACTAACCAGGTAGTGCCTCCTAGGGTTTTACCCGAAATCCATTCATCCATACTGGTACAGAGAATATTTACATCATAGTCGATTTCATTTTGTGATGAAAACTCTAACCGCATATCTATAAGGATAAATTTATTTTGTTTTTCAAGTTAACAAACCAAATAACCCAAAGAAGACTGTAATAAGTTCATTGATTATGTTAAACCTGTTCACACTGCAGTATTTTTGTATTTTCCATAAACTAATCATTTATAAAAGTTTTCTGATTAACTAAGAACTGGCTGAAATTTCGTCGCGGTTGTTTACAGTTCCTTTCTTTATTATACTTTTACCCAACGGTTTATGTAATTTTCATACTTTTTAAATCACTTAGGAGAAGAAATCACGTCGTAGTGGTGGCGGTAATCGAAAACGTGATGATTTTATTGCATCTGGTGATGAGGAAAGCAGTGGAAGTTCTAATGAGGCAGCGGCCGGTGATCGTTCAGAAAATGTCGATAGTGTTGGTCAACAGAAACAAAAAAAGATTGGAAATAAACGTCAAAGTTCCGAATCAAAGGAAGGAAATCTTTTGCGTAAAAAGTCAAGATTCTCTAATTCACGTGATGATGGATTATCAGCTAAACAAAGAATGCGAATAGTTAGTAAAGCTATTGTTTCTGATTCTAGCGATAGTTCAAGTAGCGGTGAAGAAGATGAACAAGAACATCAAGCACGTGCTGCAGCATTGGCCCGTAAAATTTTATCATCTGATGATGATGACGGTAGCGAATCTGAAGATCAGTCTCCTCCTATGACGGGTAGGCAACAACAACAATCTATGGACTCATCACCTTCAGATTTGTCGGACAGCAGTAGTCCAAGACGACATAATGAACACAGATCAAAACCTAGGCGTGTTTAATATGTCTTAAAATGTTTTACACATAATCAATCTTTTACTGCTGTATCCAAACTGCAGTGGGAATTTTGTTGTTTTACAAGCATTAATTCTTTATTTTATATATATCGCTTTCATCCTATTTTGTGTACTTGTACCTACATATTTATTTGTAAATATAGTATAACTTGTGTAATACTGAGTTCATATGATTGAAACTACTCCATAAAGGGCGAATTCTCATTGTCTACTGATTTTTGTCAAAGCAATAACTAATGTAGCTTGCTAATTTTCATAAAATAATATTTTGCATATTGAAATTTTTTCAACCTAATTTGTTTGTATTCTTGTCACTAAGTCATGTACACATTAAGAGATGGATTGAACAACTTCATATAACATCGGTATTAGAGAATTTGAAATTTTCCTGTTGTCTAATTGTTTACTTGCTTGTAGATTTAGTGTTGTTTATGAATCGGTATCTAATACATCTGCATCTTATTATCAATTCATACTTTGTTCGATCCAATGTGAGAATACTATCGCAGGTGTAATACAATTATAAAAATGTGCTTGGAATTCTTTTGCAAGTGATTAAAAAGTCACATGCAGTGTCGTCTTTATCGAAAAATAAAAATGATCAAATGAAAAGAAATATATACAAACTGAACGCTTGTAGTTTGATATTCCTTTAAGTTTTAAACTACCTGGTAACACTTTAAAATGTTTCGCAAACTTTTTAGTGTTCACCAGTAGTTGCAATATATTAACCCATTCTATTATTCTTAAGTATATGGATCGAATGCACTTCATAACTGTTTTCATTATCAACCGTTAGCATGTAAACTAATATAATTGGAATGAATTGGTTAGTGTCGACTCTTAAGCTAATTTAATTTGGTTAGTGAGAAAATGATCTGAATAAAATGATTGACTTTTTTCTTCAACCAGTTAGTGGTTTTAATACACATTACTAGAAGTTAGCGAAGATTGTGCTGATAACGTTGTTCGGAAAGACAGAAAAAGCTCTACGACCAAACTATCCAGATCAGAGAACAAAACTCCACCTATGTTAATGAGATTGCCATATCAGCTAACCGTGTAAATGCTAACAGCTTTTAGTATCACTCTTGTATAAATATCTGTAATTTCGCTTATTTATATTTTTTTCCGGCCATCTTGGAAATTTATATTTTATCTAGACTTACTATCAATCCAAATTTAAGAAGACATAATACAACATTAAACTTGTGTTTCCAAAATACTATTATCTGTTGGCCTTACTGTCGAAATCTCTATTTCACCACAACATATGCATCATAGTGCTACTTTGCAGAATTATATCCAAACCCATCGAAGGCCCCAATCTATAAAGGCTTCTTAACTACAACTTAATCATTTTCCATCGGTAATATCGTAAGATCTTTCCAATCAGTAAGACTGCAGTGTTGAATTGTCTAAAATTTCCAACCTTATGTAAGAGCAATTATGGTGTATAATTCTCTGCGTCTTACCGAAAGCACATACGGTTGAGTCAGTGTGAATCCATAAGTTTACTCGATCGCAAGCAGTAAGTTATAATGGACACACGAAACGAGCCCTTTTGAGGTGCTTCTACAATGTACTACTTTGTTTAGGGAATAGATTAACTACGAACACGATTGTAAAACTTAAGTAAATGAAATCGTCGAGAAGCCAACTTCTTCGCAGAACTGTCTTCATTCTTTTGAAGTCCGGAGAGGTTGTAAGTATTGAATAAGTGATTATTAGTCTAGTTTGGGATTTTTATTTATTATTATTTAAACACAAATATTTGTACAAAGGGGCACCAGATATATATACGCCACACAAATCTCATTTGATTTGTGTGAGGGCTGTGATACTGCCCAGGTGCCCAAACTGGGATTCTTAAACGATGAAAATATACCGCACCATATGAGATCGCATCTATGACCTCTTGAAGTCTTGTTTTAAGGTATTGAATTTCAGATCAAAACAGATGTCTACTGGTCTTTGGTTTTCACAGCATTTATTAGGCCGATTTTTAACTATACAAACTGTACAGAATCTTTACAAAACCATACTTATATTAGGGTCTGTGCTAATTAAACTTTGGATGAATTTGTCATAAAATATTATTTATTAGGTAAATCATTAAGTTCAAGATTGTCTCCCATTTGATCATCCTTATGACCGTCATATACCTGCACACTTAGAATAGTGTATTTATGAACAAACCATAAAAAGGATAACTTTTCAGCAAGAGAAAAGAAGCAAAATAAATAGTCTTTTAAGAGAATACATGTGATAAACAGAAACCTAAGCAGTTGTTATAGATACCATAGTCAGAATCATGTAGAGTGAAACAACCCAACTCTGATTTGAAAATGTTCGTAATAAATTTTTGAACACGTATATCCATGATCTTACAATGGGTGGTGCTAGGTAGAATCGTATTAATTATTTCAATCTCATAGAAACTCCTATATCAAAGTGGATGGTTATTTATATCGGTATAATCGCTTTAATTACACATGAGAGCTTGAAAATAAACACAAACCGGGCTTACATGCAACTGTTAACTAACTGTAAGAAAACAATGGTAGTCTAGCAAGTCATGGGCTAAATGGTACAACTTTGAGAGGGAAATGTCGATTGTCTTTTGAGGTGACAAATAATAGATAACTATGGTTTCGCTTGGCCTACAAGTTCTGGAGCACTTTGTGGTGGCAAGTTTTCCTGAGAACGCATAACTTCTGGTAATTCTGGAGGATTTGAATATGGTGTAATGTCCAGTGTCTCGAACTTTTCAGTGGCTAAAATTCAAAAAAAAATTTAGAACTATGTGAAGTGTACAGAAACTAGGTAAAACAGAACTGCCCAACTTCAGTTGGATAATATATTACATAAACGGATAATTACGTTAAAGGTATTTTACATCGAAATTCATGAGTAAAAGCGTTCGCTTTTTCTATCATTTCTGAATGGAAGAGACGTTTCTAAAGTCGATTTAGCTGTAAATCATTGATTTAGAATAACTTTAGCTAGGATGTATTGATGTGAGAAATCGTAAACTTTCCGCTAATAGTGTTCACAAACACCACTGTTTTAAGAAAGTGCAATTTGCGCGTATGCAATATTATAAACAGAACGAAACTGGTCGTCAGTATATAAATATTTTGCCCCCAAATGCCCTGTTACGGCCGAGAGTAGGGAGAGTCCGCTCTCCCTATCGAAATTCTCTCACATGGCCACGCGAATATATAGCCTCTGCCAGGGAAGTCCTACTCACTGCCTTCTCGTGGTGGGGGTGTTGTTCACGAAATTGAAAGGACAAAAAGCGAATGTCCGGCGCTTTAACCGGGTTGGTGGACACGGAGGGTCCACCTAGGGCAGTTGGAAAACCCTCATTCCAAACCAATGGTGCACATGGGCTCCAGTATCCTGAAAGGACCAAAAGGCGTATGAACCAATTGTTGGTCACTGGCTACCATGTGACTGCATCTCCTTACGATGCTCCACTGCCTTGTGGACTAGACCTTCAGGTCAAAGGCTCGGGGTGTGGCCCCCTAAGAAAACCACCCGCTTCAGTTTGGGCACCTGAGCAGTATCACAGTTCTCACACAAATCAAATGAGATTTGTGAGGCGCATATTTATCTGGTGCTTTCTTGTACCAATATTTATGTGTTTAAATAAATAAATAATAAATTATGTATAAACATTTACAATCTCATAGACTAACAACTTTCCTCACCTAGGAATTTACGCATAACGTTAGCTGAATTTGTAACACCGAAGCATCTTTAGCTTTAAATTTGATATGTATTATTCTGGTTTCAAAAGTTGTCTCCTACTTTTAGAGAAGCACAGGGCGCACACTCGTATAGTAATCATCCCTTATGATGAATGTTTAGATAAAGTTAGAAGTACAACTCTCGCTTCTGACCTTAAGTTGCTGTTTTTAATCTTATGACTTTCAACCGACCAGCATGGTATGGTATAGTAAGATTTAGAGGAACAAGCGTCCTGATTGATTTATCTATATTGGATCGTCGCGATAGGCAAGCCAAAACATCATATCAAGGTGGTAGTTATGGTCAGAAGTAGCATATCTAGCGATAGGTTATGGCTGTCTAATTTAATTATTTATACACATAAATATTTGTACAAGGGAGCACCAGATACACATGCGCCTCACAAATCTCATTTGATTTGTGTGAGAACTGTGATACTGCTCAGGTGCCCAAACTGAAGCGGGTGGTTTTCTTAGGGGGCCACACCCCGAGCCTTTGACCTGAAGGTCTAGTCCACAAGGCAGTGGAGCATCGTAAGGAGATGCAGTCACATGGTAGCCAGTGACCAACAATTGGTTCATACGCCTTTTGGTCCTTTCAGGATACTGGAGCCCATGTGCACCATTGGTTTGGAATGAGGGTTTTCCAACTGCCCTAGGTGGACCCTCCGTGTCCACCAACCCGGTTAAAGCGCCGGACATTCGCTTTTTGTCCTTTCAATTTCGTGAACAACACCCCCACCACGAGAAGGCAGTGAGTAGGACTTCCCTGGCAGAGGCTATATATTCGCGTGGCCATGTGAGAGAATTTCGATAGGGAGAGCGGACTCTCCCTACTCTCGGCCGTAACAGGGCATTTGAGGGCTGTCCAATGACTTGAAGCCATTCAATATGTAGGCGTAGACTACTAAACAACAATTGAGTGATCTGGAGCGAATTTCTCGCTGTTAAACGTGAACGTCCTGGTGCATACTTCTAAAAAATTCTATGTTGATGCAGAACGGCTGCATAATGATCCTTGATTTAACGTTCGTTAAGTCATAACCTGAAGTGCATTATATCTTGAACTACCTCCTAATATATTTAAACCAAATATTCTTACATATATTCTTATATGAATGCTGATTAATGCATGCTACATAATAGAACCTTTTCCACTTTTACCGAGAAACCAAAATATCTCCTTCACACGGACTGAAAATTTATTACCAGTACAAGCACATTGGTACTCTACAAAAGCAGTAAGATCAGATGAGAAAAACGCTAGCATTGCTGAAAGTGCACGCGGTCTGAAGACCTTGCAATGAAGCGAAGATTACTTTATGATTCATATGACTTGAAGGTATTTCATAATAAACATACCTGGATCACGGAGGCATAGTCCAAGTGTTGCTGGTGTATGAGCCCTTGCTGTTTGGCTATTTAGATTATAGTAACTCAATGATTTTTCATCATCCATTTCGGTCTGATGCTTTAAAAGCATTTGATCTTCGGGCTTTACTTTGAGAATTCCTTCAATCATTTTCTTCACCTCGAGAACGAGACTCGTTTCCTTAGCACTCAGGTGAATGGTTGTTTTCTTACGACGTACAACCATATATACCTCCTAAAAGTTCGAAACAAATTAAACTCCTCGAAGTGTACGATGTTATAAATGATAAGCATGAAAAACAAACCACAAATACCATTTGCCCCAAAACAGTTTGAGACGATTTGATTTAGTCACCAAAACGCCGAAACGAATGTGGCGCTGCACGTGTTTCAATGTACGATTTTAGTTTTAGAAGTATAGTAATCTGAATGGGCTTTGTTAGTTTTGGTTATGAGGGCTTTTTCAACTGGTCCAACTTTTTGTAGAACTCTCTAGCAAGTGGGATTCAAATAATGTGTTGAGGTAAGGATTTCAACTCGGCGTGAATGTCAGTGGTCACCTAACGAGTTGTTCGAATATATATGAATGGAATACATAAGTTCTCGCTTAACGGACTTCTGTATCTAGTAGCAGTGCATAATCCATGTCTGTGGGTAGGGAACTGGGTATATTCAGCATGTAAAGATAAATATTAGTAAATTACGATGAAATTCTGTCAAGACCGCTCGCGACGCTCTTCAAAATGTCCATTTCACTCGCTCAACTACCTAGAGACTGGAAAGACGTTATAGTTAGTCCTATATTGAAGGATGGTCAGAGACGGATTGTATCTAACTACCGCCCTGTCAGCCTGACCGGCATAGTCGTTAAGTTACTTGAAAAGATAATTCGGGCTAAGTTACTGAGTCACATAGATTCGTATAATCTGTTAACTACCGAGCAACATGGGTTTCGTAACAAGCGTTCATGCTTAACTTACTTATTGCGAGAGAGGATTGGACAGAAGCCCTAGATAACTTCCTGTCTGTCGATGTGATATTCATAGATTTTGGCAAAGCGTTTGACAAGGTTTCAAACTTAGGTCTTATGCAGAAGCTCTCGGGCCTAGGAATAACAGGTTCTATACAGCAATGGATAGGAAGCTTCTTATGTGGCCGCAGACAGAGAGTGAGGGTCAATGGCACGCTATCCGAATGGAAGCCGGTCAAAATTGGTACATCCCAAGGCACTATCTTATGCCCTTTACTTTTCCTTCTGTATGTTAATGAATTACCTCTATTACTTAAGTCGTCGACATTATTGTTTGCGGATGATGTCAAAATCTGGAGAACAATAAGAAATGAGGCTGATCGTTGTCATCTCCAAGCTTACATAGACTTCGAAGTTAATTCCAGGAAGAGCATGCTCATGCACATCGGGCACGGTAATAGTTACCATTATACCATTAATGGCACATCTCTTCCACGCGTTCAATAACATAGACACTTAGGAGTAACTATAGACCACGACTTGAAAACTACTACGCACTGCAGCACAGCTGCTTCCAAACGTTATCATGCGCTATGGTCACTTCGCCGAGCATTTAAATGCTTTGACGAGTAGATGTTTCGAATTTTACATCCCACCTATGTAAGGCCACACTTAGAGTACTGTATGTTTGATTGTGTGATTAAGGATACTTAGTCACTTGAATGTGTCCAGCGTGTAGATGAAATTAGTAAAGGGTCTTTCTAGACTCTCTTACGATGAGCGTTTGAAACGTCTAAACCTTTTCCCCTTGTCTTATCGTAGGAAGCGAGGTGACCTTATACTGGCATTTCGTATCTTCAATTATGATTTGGGCGGTAATATGTCCTATCTTTTTGTTCCCCCCAGCACTGATAATCTCCGACATCATATCAAGAAGGTTCACAAACCGCGATCTAATAAACCAAAGGTGGGGTCTCGTTTTTCTCATCGAGTGGTCAATGACGGGAACGCATTACTCGGACAAGTGGTATCAGCTCCATCAGTGAACATTTTTAAGGAGGAGCTGGACCTTCACTGGAAGGCAATCTGTTAGAATTAACACAGGATCATCAACCTAACATCCCTATTACTGAAGACTGAAAGGTCCCACGGGTATTTGGAGTTTGATAATGTCTTCACTCCTATACCATCCAGGTAAAGTCAGAAGTCAGAAATGAAGGAGTTCGAAGATATATTTGGGAAGCTAACGATATGTCGAGGACAGTTGGTCTAAGCTGGCTAATAGTTGCAAGGGATGCGAAGCACGACTTACCCATTCGTGACCTGGTAAGGATACGTGGCCGAGCGCCTTCACTTAAGGTGCTCTCAGTGAAACTAATAAGGTCGGCATCAATATCAAAGACCTACAGGGTTATTTATTCTGTGGATTTATTTTCAGCTACACTTCCCTGAGTCCTACAACAATTGGCAGATTTCCTGTTAAAGGACTTTGGAATTTCGTTAGGTAACCTTAAAAGGTAATGAGCTTCGAAATCCGACTAATCATCCGAATTAGGTGTGTCCCCAGCCCAGTTTACTGTGATATGTCATTAATTATCGCATATTGTCTCCAAGATCTGTGTCGGGACTGAACCCTTTTAAGTATTTAAGGGAATGCACTGAAGCTAAGTAATTAGAAGGTTACCTCTGAGACATCCATACTCTAGTGAATAAAGATCCACTAATTTAAAGCACACTTCATGAGGTTTGAACTTGAGTGCACGAACTGATTTCCTAGCTCGCATTTGGGTAATTTATAGTGCATTGTTATCCTTTCGAAGTGATGAATGAAACGTTATATTTTCCTACCTTGAAGGAGGCCGAATAAGATCGTTAAAGATAAGGTAGAACATCATAGTGTTAGGCTTGTCAAAAAATGTGTTTCAAAGTTACCATCACAGGGTGTGCACGGAAGTGGATTTTGGAATTTGGATAATAGGATACTAAGACTATTAGACCCTTTCTAACTTGGAAACCTCTAGAGAGGGGCTAGGTAATTTATATATGTGGTCTGTAACTTGTCTCAGATAGACTACTTTACAACTTGAAGTGTTGAAGGAATACAGGTCACAACCATTGTCGAGGACTGACTATGCATATGAACTAAACAAGCTATGTTAGTCGTACTCCTGTTTTTGCAGCTCATATACTGCTTTCTGTACCGGTCACAGTGAATTTAAGGAAGTTACTAGAGCAAACTTGGAAGTATAAATAAAAACTAACATTTTAGCTCCAGCCGAAGGAAACTCTAAGCAGTCAAACAGGTTTCAATACTCTGAGTGTACAATCCTCTTAGACACCATATACCTGGAAGTTTAGATTTAGTAGATGAACAGTTTTCCCCCTTAAATGCTCACCTTATTGGTGGAGGACTGTAGAACACTCCCAAAAATTAGAAGCCTGATAATCACTTGATAGCGATCCTGGATTGTTGTTTGTAACAACACGTTCTCAACCAAACATTTTTGCCAACATTCACTAATGGTCTATTGTCACAAGGATTAGAAAGTAACGATTCTGAGTTTCTCCAGAAATGCAATTATACTTAGGTTACATTATATTAGCCAAATCTAAAGAGGTAGTATTTAGAAGAATATTCAGGAAGAAAAATGGAAGGAAACATAAACGGAGTTGGTAATCAATTTAATGGGTGCGTTTGTGAAATAAAGCATGTATAAAGGTTAGTATAAATATTACCAAAAGAATTTTTTAAAAACCATTAATATAACGAAAATTGACTGTAGAATAAGATTTTACGTTGTAATACTTCAGAATTATGTACGAAAATTTTAACTAATTGCACAGAATGATCGTCAGGTGTCAATTTGTAGAGGTCATATATGCGTTGTGATGATAAAATGTGTCTGGAAAGTGAATTTATTTCATTAGGTGTAATATAATATATTAGGTTTTACTTGTACACTGTTGATGGGTAGACAGAGACTTTACGTAGAGAGAAGAAATGTCTAATGTGCCAGATGAATAATCATAGAACTAATAATAATAAAAACAATAACAATAATGTATATGAACATGAGAGAACTTAAGATATTCACGTGAAAAAAATAAAAGAACAAAACGTCAGAAGTTCCATTTTATTTTGCTGTCAATTAAACAAATACCGAACCTTGTTTGTATAAACCATAGTTAATCACGCTGATATTTATTAGGTAACGGAAAACACATTGGGAGCGAACGTCATCAATGATACTTTTGAACCGGTGTATGGTTTTATTGCTGTCGCTGTGGCCATTGTAAACAACTCCATATTTATCAGCATTCAGTGACAGACACCACGACATAGTCCATTAGTGTAACTTGCTTAAGCCCTCTTGAATTACGTCCGAAATATAGCATTCTTCTGTGGAAAGTGAAAAGTAATAGATCACTTTGAAATCATTGGCAAAGTGGAGAGGTTTATTGTATCCGGAAAATGAGCACACGTCATTAGTGAAGTGGAGAAGGAGTAATGGTCTAATCACACTTCCTTGTGTAACCCCACGGGTTATATTTGTGGGCTTATAGTAGAGAAATCAAAAGGAAAAGACTGGGCTGCGTTCATTTGAATAACGTTCGAACCAGAAAAATATGGTATCCAGTATGCCAAATGAAGTAAGCTTTAGTAGTAAGTTGTGTGAGACACTGCCGAAGGATGTCATGCGAAGCGAAACGAGCCTTTGAACGAACAGAAATTGGAATGTCTTCTTTTCTTAGTGCCTCCAACTGCATCTGCCAGTTTACATGTAAAACTCCAACCCACATATATTGGTGGAACAGAGAGAGCAGTACATGTCCTTATTTCAGAGAACGTTCCGGAGAATTCGAGATTGGAATGCTCAACAGCCTTATGCACCACTTTGAACGTTTGTTACGTTATTGTAAAAAAGTTATTGGCTATTACTGTCTTCTGAATTTTAGAAATCGACAGAGCGTCAATGAAACTCTGATACTGAATGAGACACAATGGAACCATCAAATTTCTGGAGATGACCCCAGCTGGCTCGAAATCGAATCAGCCTCGTATTTGCTTAGGTAGAGAAGTTACGTAGTGATAGTGAAATAATACTGAACTATTTCTACAAGACATTCTTGAAGCCGAACATATATTGACTTGGGATATTCACACTGTCCGTTTATTACTTTGTAGATGACATCGAGTCACGATTGACTATGATCACCACTACAGGAAGATTACGTGCCAGGTATCGACTTAGATCCCTTGTTAGGCCGAAAACCAGGAGGCTGTTAATGGTTGCAATAAGATATATTTGTTGGCCATCTCGCGGTATCGAAGGAGTACCGAGACGTGCCAAAGTTTACAGGTGGAACTGCCGAGGGTAAGCGAGTTCATGCAAGGTCGCAGGCAATGGAAGGAAAAGTGTCTTTGGTACAGTAAAAAAATCACTGGTACAATTGGTTATAATAATAATTGCTTCCATTATACCAATTACGCTCTCGTCATAAAAGTAGGTCACTACAACTTGATTGAAAATAGTTAAGTCTGGTGAAAGTCAACGCAGAAACACGATCAATACTGCGTGGCTTAGATATGCGAGCGTTTGTATCCTATCAACCCATCCCTTTTGCATTGCATATATTATTCTATTACAAGTGTAAATTTATTTCGTAAAGGTTTCTACTAACAATTCTACTGACTGACGTGATGATGTGATTCATTATAGGACACGACATGAAAACTTGGTAGAACAATGAATTACGCTGTTATTAAAAGCATATGAGAATAAAGATTTCCAGGAATAATCAAAGGAATCTTCTGATTTTTCAAGCCATGCATACGTTTTTGATGTGAATGTACCTAGCTCACTTAGGACACACAACTAAGATACTAAGCACATCAAATTACCTTTCAAATCAAAGTGACTACTAACGGTAACAAAGTATCAGGATAGGTAAAACGAATGTTCATATAACTACTAAGGAAAAATATATGTTCAGTCGTAACAATGCACGCCTAAAGATTCACTCACACAACGTTTCAGGATCCCTGTTTACGACACAGCAAAATAGCACGACATTTAATAATGAAAATTCTATGCCTACTAGGTAAATGTAAGCTATGGAATGTATTCCAGAAGTAGTGTTTTAGTGTGTAATGAGTGACCCAACGTTTTACGTTTTGTATAGATTTCATGTTTCAAACTATTAGTGGCTCTGTTATAACGCCCAATGTGAAATTGTCTGGAAATCAGGTCGTCTCAAAACCTCCGGCTTCCTAGTACTACTTGATCCCACTTTTATCAACGTGGCCACAACTGGGACACACCGTGTAGTTATTTCCAGGACTCACTATACTGTCATCAGTTTGAGTTTACTGCAATAAATAGTAGGGGTATCGGCCATAGTATACTTAACGGACACTGGCAGTTGCGGGCACTCAATTAAACGTCATAGCCATATCTCAACACAGCCCACGAGAGTTCTTTCTCCACTCCTCAAGATACTGATCACGTAAGCTACAAATCCATATGTTTTTGACTGACAACAGAGATTGAGGTCTAGATTTTTTAGCTAGTTATCTAATGAAGACAGCTCTTTCCGGCGAAGCTGAGGTTGGAGCTGATATGTCTAAAAGCTCAGAATATTACTTGTTGTTGACAAGACGAGGATCCGAAATGACCCTTTACTAGTACCTGTGAACTCAATGTATGTGAAGGGACACCTTTCAAAAGAGTCAGAATACACCATGTCTTTTCCTAGAGCAAACTACATAGCTTCCAAACTCTCTTCATAACTTATGTTTACTGAGAATAAGTTATTATCATTACTTCTACTTGGCACCCTAGAATCTTGTGAGAGCTCTGCCATATTTTACCACTAAATGACACATCGTTAGGTGAACTTAACACTAAAGTATATCATTGATCTGTCATAATGAAAGGGTTGAGAGGAGTATAATTTGTCAGAACCCTATCTCTCTCATTCTTCAGCAACAGTTTTAACGCTTCTTTGGTAGCTGTTCGGTTTGTTCCTTATCCAGGTGTCACTTGGATCACTCAATTCTGAACTTGTACGATGAAATGAGAATCCTTCCCTAAGTAGGGGAACGTGACGTAGAAGTATTTTTAGACGGTATTTTGAGTGAGTGCTGAAACAGTTCTAAAAGGTTGAGGAGCCATGGCAACTATATTCAAATAACAATATGATAGCCGCGTCATGTATCTTCAGTTTAGCGTTCTCGATTTGCTGGTGCCAAAAAGTAGTGACATTTTGGGTGTTAAATTAAATATTCCTCTCATGTCTTTTTTGAAGAGAAGCGATATGTATGGGACAGTGGCTCTACTTGCAGAGCCGAAGACCATCTGGAGACAGAAGGTTCCGATAATTCATAAAATTAGTGGATTGCTTGTAAGTAATACAAATGGAAGAGACTTGCAGCAACTTAGGTTGATTACCCAAGAGTTGATCTCAAACATCCAAATATATGTCAAAACAATAAGGCCTGGCTATTCATTCTCTTCCTTAATTTATATAGGAATTATACTTCCTATTACCTTATATTGAATGTTGAAAAGCTTTTGGTGTTTGAACAAGTGACCTCGCGCTCCACTGTGTGCCACTCACGAGCTAAATAAAGACCTGTCCGCTACTGGTCTGATTTCATCTATCAGTAGAACGAGGGACACCTAGGGGCAAGAAGGTGTGAGTTCTGTATTGAACACAAATTTAATTTCTATTTATATTGTCACTATTGTGTATTTTTTTACCTACTCATAAAAGCAGAACTTCTGGCTATCATTAACTAAAGTTTGGTGCACATATTTGTGCATAGTTTTCTTATCACAAGTTATTCGTGTTGTGGTCATTACTTTATCCCATTCTTATTATATTACCATGTTAGTCATATATCACATGTCAGACTCAATATAAACCAAAAGCCTGAAGGATTTGTCACCAGTGGAGATAGAGACTGTTATGACTACGAAAGCATGACTCCCAGAATTCGATCATAGTGACTCTGAGTTGTCATTTGCTCAAGTAGGTCATTATTTCACGGGACACAATATTGAATCTGAACGAATTCGCCGTCAAGATTTATGTTTCACTGTAGCCGATTTAAATCTGGCAATACTGGGAATAGACTTTTCAGGGAGCTACGAATTTCTAGTTGACACTAAAAGACGACGCTTAACACTGAAAGGAACTTTGAACCGCACAAAAGGGGAAGAAAGTTACATCACATCCCTAAATTTGACGGGAACTCCATCAGTAACAACGGCGGAATTCTAGGGTACACTCGAGAAATCTCCACACCTAACCAAACGGAATCTCCAGCCTTCCGAAAGCAAACTAAAAGTAAGTCATACGATCAAAACCGAAGGTGCAATTGTGTCTGCTAGATCCAGAAGACTAGCACCATATAAGCTTGAAATCGTTAGGGCTCAATTCGACTACATGATACAGCTGTGTATTTTCCGTCCCTCTGATAGTCAATGGGCATCCCCTTTACCTATGGATCCAAGGAAAAGTGAAGGCGATTGGAGGCCGTGTGGAGATTACAAGTCCCTCAACTGTCAAACCGTACCAGACAGGTACCCAATACAGCATATCCAAGATTTTACAAACTGTTTACGGGGTATGAACATATGTAATAAGAGCGACTTGGTCAGGGCATATCACAATATCTCAATAACTGAGAAAGATGTCCCTAGGACAGCTATTACTACACCTTTTGGATTGTTCGGGATTATACGCATGCCATTCGGTCTGAGGAACGCGGCACAAACATTTCGAAGAATTGTGAATGACCTACTTCGAGATATGCCATTTGCACAGGGGTATATAGACGATTGGTTAATTGACATCCTGATTTACGAAAGCACGAACAGCACGTAGAGCAGTGTTAGAACGGCTGGATGTAAATGGAATGAGTATACACCAAAGTAAGTGTGTTCTCAGTCTTCAAACTGTAGAATTTCTCGAGAACACAATAGGCCGAGAAGAAATTAGACCGATCAAAGAAGAAGTGGACACTATTAGACAGTGTCCCAAACCAAGTCCTCTAACGCACCTTAGAAGCTTTCTAGGTCTAATTGTTTGTTATCTAAGATCCATACCCAGCTGTGCACAATTAGTGCAACCTTTACCAGATTCCCTCAAAGGAAAACCAAAAGAATTCAAGCTGACTTTGGAGGCTGTTAACCAGCCAAAGGAAAAGTTGGCTCAGGCATCTAGCTTGATGTATCCGAATTCTCATTCCTTATTTGCTTGGATGGTGAATGCTTCGGATAAAGCACTAGGCGTTACCCTTAACCAACTGGTTATAAATGCCTGGAAACTAATTACTTTCTTCTCAAAAAGACTAGCTCCAGGAGAGACGTGATACTCTACCTTCAGACGAGAACTTCCTGCAATCTACCTAACCATTAAGCATTTCCGACACATGTTGGAAGAAAGGGACTTCATAGTTTTTACAGATCACAAGCCATTAACCAATGCATTAAAAGCGAGAGCCGACAAATACTCACCTAGAGAAGCATGACACCTCGACTATATATCACAGATTACAAGTGATATCTGAAATGTAAAAGGTCAGGACAATCAGGTGGCAGATGCATTATTTCGGTTAGAAATGAATGTGATACAACAGTTTACAGCAAATTCCGAGATGTTGAGAGACAAACAATAAGAGGATCAAGAATTACGAAACCTAATTACAACAAACAACTCCAATCTCAAACTTAAGCAGTTACCACAGCCTATTGACTATATTCTAACTTACTGTGACACGACCAAAGTGATGCCTCCAAAATTATGCAAAAATTAATATTTAGTAACTTTCACTCTTTGTCTCATCCTGGCGCAAAAGCTTCGACTAAACTAATCAATGCCCGATTTATATGGTCAAATTTACAAAAAGATGCACATAAATGGGTAAGAGAGTATACGGCGTGTCAACGGTCAAACGTTATTCGTCACACAAATTCACACAAATTCAAGTAAGTAAGATCATTTTGACTATTTCCTATCTATCTAATCCACTGTTAGTTATTAACATAATTTAATTTTACTTATACTAATTTAAGTAGCTAAATTTTCGTCGTTACTATAAATAAACAGTTATTGATACAATAATTATTCCCTTATTCTTCTTTCGTTTATTGTCATGTTGAAAAATGAAAGGAAAATGTTATTTAAATAAATATGAGTAAATCACAAGTTCAGTAAATTTCGATTATGTAGCTGCCGTAACACGAACATATGTTGCGTGTGTTTGTATAGTATTGTATACAGATATGTAAGCCTGGATATGAGAAATTCAATAAGGTAGATTCAAGGCGAAATAAAGAAACGACCAAAAAAGAATTTTAAAATTCTGTAACAGTAATATAATGAAATGAAAAGGGAGTATAACTAGTACAACGAGAAATAAAAAGAGAGGGAGCGAAGAATTGGGTGAAGATGGAAGGGAAAACATAGACATCCCAAGAAATTTTAATGTCAAATCATGGTATATTGCTTTCCTTTGCTACTGTCAGATATACTTAATAGATTTAAAAATCAGAGATAAATTAACGGGAATAGTACATGAAGCGGTTTACTACTATTTTTTATTTGCATACATTACTCATCAGCGGTTGACAGGAGAGTAATGGACAACTGTTTTATCTAGTGTGAGACCCCTGTGGTGTCCCATCTGAGACCAGTCATTGATGAGCACAATGTATATAAAGAATATTCATTGGAAATTGAAATTCTTCCACACACAATTAGCAAAGTACTGAGAATAATTACATGAATCTTTAAAAAACCAGCCAACATCAAAAAATTGATTTGGAACCCTAGCAATGCGTACCCATAACCCTACTGTAGATCAAACCAAATATATATAAATGTCGCTATCAAGATAATTTTAAATCAAAGAGTTCCATACATACATATACTAATTTACTTCAGTTTCAATACTCAACTGATATCACTGGTGGTCAGCTATCTCACTACCTACTTGATGTCTGCACTGTTCATGGTTTTAGATGAGAACTTTGAAAAATCCATCATGAAACTCATAATTCAGTTACATATTATACCAACTTTCTAAATATTTGCAATTATCAGTAATCTGACTATGATAATGTGACCGATGGAACTGACTTTTGTGTTTTGTTCAACTAAGACATTCATTTAGTAATTTTTGAATAATTAGAATATGTAAGATAAATTTGATTGACGTGTTAGTTTTTTATGAAACTATCGAAGTTGAATACCTGAGTTTTAAAAGGACCTAAACAAGTAATCTACATTTTATCAGTCTATTGACTACCACCTGGAGAAAATTACACAATTTATTTAGTGGTCAATCATTAATTTCACCTTAATCTTTCAGTACTACAGTTAATTTCTTCAAGCGATCATTAAATGAGCTTTAATTGAATTTAATGACGTCTATTACAAGCTGTATTATTTGGTGAAATACGTTAATAATATTTATTACACTATCAAACGGTTCTTAAAATTTCCTGGCAAACTACTTATTTAATTTCATTTCACAATTTTTCTGCTTTACATATTGATCAATATTGATGCATAGTCGGAGTCTGTATCGTTATTAAGTAGTCTATTTTGTCGTTGAATCATTAAAGACAAAACATTGTTCAACTACTTTAAAATGTAAATTTAATATTTATTAAAAAATAGTCCATAGGTATCTGATATTATTAATAATAACAGTAAAAAACTTTTGTTATTATATCTATTCATTTATTTATTTAAACACGTAAACATTGGTATAAGGAAGCACCAAATAGATATGCGCCACATATATCATCTGATCTGTGTAAGGGGTGGGATACTGCCCGGGTGCCCTGATGTGTGGACGAGAATGACAATGATTGGTTGCCTTGATGAGTCAGACATTAGATGGGGTGACAGGTGTTATATGTGTTATATATATTCCCCTATCCTTATTATGTATTGACACTTATTGATGGACCGTTATTGATGGACTGTTCCTTGTTGATGGACACTTATTGATTGACTGTTCCTTGTGTCGGATTTCGGTGTGGAAATATATTGACATGGTAGTCAGGCTAATTTCGTGTTCTTGATCTGAGTTGTGTTGAAGTCCTGTAGAATAGACACTGGGTGGGAATCTAGTGTAGATATTCGTCTAGGTAAATTAACGTCCCACATACGTGTAGAAAGTTAAAGGACTGTTATAACTAGAAACCTCTAAAGTTATAATCAGCATCATTTACGTGTATAACATGCCTAAACCAGAGAAAGTGGTTTTTTAGGAGGCAACACCTGGAGAATTCAAACTAAAAGTTTGATCCACAAGGCAATGGAGATGCAATCCCATGGTAGCCGGTAACCAACAATTGGTTCATATGCGATTTGTATCCTTAGGTTCCAGAAGCTCATGTTAACCAGTGGAATCGGAGTTTTCCAACTCCCCTAGGTGGACCTTACATTATCCACCAACCCCGTTAAAGTGCCGGACATTCGCTTTTCGTACTGTCAATTTCATAAATAACACCCTCACCGTGCGAAGACAGTGGGTAGGACTTCTCTGGCAGTGGTTGTATGCATGTGGCCATATGAGAGCATTTCAAGAGGGAGAGCTGACTCTCACAACTCTCAGCCATACCAGGGCATTTGGGAGCTATGTTATTTTATACCAAGTGTATGCTTCTTTTTCAAATATTATTTGCATATTTTTTTCAACAGAATTCTTTTGTTATTCAATTGCCGGGTGTGTGCGACGACGGAAATGACCTAGAAATTCATGCATTTCTTATTTGTTAATTTGTGTATGTAGATCGTCAAAATCAAGAGTCGATGGTTAGCAAACAATTAATGAAACTTCAATGTATTTGGTGGTTTTATTTAACTTTCGAAATTCGCAAGGTTTATAATCGAATTTTATTTTCTCAAAGCAGACTATAATCACTAAAAAAACTCATTCAAAATAAATTCAGTGAGTGTTTGGGTTTCTTATCGAGTCATAACTAATTTTATAAACGATTTCTTACAAGTTTCATAATATTTATGTATAAATTACCTTATAGTTGGGTGAAATAACCTTCTCACAATAGACTAAATGAAGTTCCTGATGGTTTACTGGCCGTTTTTGTGATACATTTATTATTATTATTATTATTATTATTATTATTGTTATTGGATACTGCAGTAGTAATATGATCTGATATAGAGCTTACTTCAAACAAAAAAGGGAAAAATGAAAGAATTTCCATCAAGTGATTACTCTATTAGAATCTGTATTAAATGAAGTAACAGTTTTGCGTGTTTTCGTTTCTAACTATTGTTATATTCACCAAATGACGGAATAAAATTTTATTATTGTCAGTCTCTAGATGTTTAATCTTTAGATATGAGTAAACTCCTCACATTTATTCATGTGATTATGGCGAGTTGACATTGTTTGCCTTAAATTTTAAGGCAGATAAACTAAAAAGCTACCATATTATTCCTGATTGCCTTAGTAGTGTGATATAATTATGTAATCATAATTAGCTAGGTTTTATCATTATTCGTCCAAATTATTTCGTGGTTTTGAATAAGATAAGAAAACTTATTCTAATTTTTTGTAAAAAAGGATAGGACAGTTTATTCAGTCTACATGGATTCTACTTAAATGTATCCTTGTTTTAGTCGGTCTCAGAAAAGCAACGGAGTTTAAGTCACTGTAGACTCACTATCCGATAAATTACAGATCATGACCTTAATAAATAAACTACGGAATTAAATTAATACAAGTTCATGACCTAAATATTTTCTGTTTTCGATTTTAGCTAACCTTGAGTAAAACTTAGTTTGACATGAGGGAGGAGAGTCAGGTATATTATCAAGGCTATTTAGTATTCCGAATAATTTACAGCTTCAACTGACATTAACTATTTAAAATCAATGTTCTTAGGTGAAGAACTTTTGTGTTCTGCTATTTGAATATTAATTAGCGTGTATTATTAACTCCTTGATAGATTAAAACACTGACTTTCAGGCCTAACGATGAGAACGTCACTTGAGTTACTGAGGGATAATTTACATTTTCAATCTTCCAGGGAAGCTCTATGCCATTTGTTGACTTCTATCTAAAGTAGATGTATAGCATATCTTTCTGTTGATTTACTCGTTTGTTAACTGTCATACAGTGATATGGTGTGTACGAAGTTGTTGAATGGACATTCTAGGTTCATTCTGTTTTTTATTGGCTTTACTGACAAAGATTACGTTGAAAGAAGTTTACTACCATAAAGGCTTGTAAAGATTCCTGTACATTTTGTCAGCGACTTTCAGTTGACTTCAACTAGATGAGGATTGATTATATATTTAACAAGTGTTTCTTTCGGACGGTAAAAAGTAGTCAAGAAGAATGAAAAGAAGCCTTACTTCCAAGGCTAGTTTACCCACAGAAAACAAAAGCCTTTATAAGTTTGTATGCTACTTGGACATTCTGAAGTATTCTGGAAGCACATCATATTCAGTAACAAAACGAATATTGATTTAGTTAAGGTGTGACATTTAATCAATTGTTATTCTAGCAATCTCTCTGAAGTTTCCATTAGACAAATCGCTTACAGCCTTATGCCAGACATTCAGAGCTTTTTCGAAGGACACACGATGGCTTTCAACTAAAAACTTCAGATTACTCAATATTCGTTTCATTTTTGTGTACGATTTCTCAAAAGATAAAAATTGAGTGACCATCATTTAAAATGTAATCATTGAAGTTTGAATCTCCTACATGTAATCATTCAGTTGATGATCTTCAACTTTAGGCTTCAGTTAGCATATTAACCCTTCCCTATATATCTGCAGTGTATAAATGACACCGAAAAAGTAAATTCCTAATGAATCCACAATACTGTAAAATTGCATCCTTTTGGTTTTGAGAACACACTCAGTAAAATTTTTACAATATCAGTTTACGTATTGAGATCATGAACCAATCAATGTTAGACCACCACTGAAAACCTGGAAGCACTGGACAGCCGTTTCAACCTAGTACTGAACTCTTCACCAGAGCTTATGTACGATGCAACAGGCGGGACTAAGGCCCAGTACCTCCGGTCTCGGACTCGAATGCCTAACCTCTAAACCAATGAGTCGGAATCTAGCAGTGTTAATGTTTAACTATTACCAATCTACCGTATTGTGCGATCATCTTCGATTGTCTTCGGTGGGTAAATCATTTACATCCGGCACGGTTGAACTTCACTGGTCACGGCTTCCCACTAGAACTCCGAGAATTACCTGTTGAAGCTAGTACCTTGTGATCACATGATGATTATCAGTGTAGGGTTGTGAAAACTATTGAGTTTCATTGAGATCATGAGTCCTGTGTGCGTATCGTGGATATCCAATGCTGAAGAGTCCCATACTAAAACGAAACGGCTGTCCAGTGCTTCCAGGTTTTCAACGGTGGTCTAACACTGACCGATTCATGATCTCAATAAAAACCTAACACTTTCCATAACTCTATACTGATAATTAGTTTTTTTAATTCGTCTAAAAAGCCGTTAAGTAAAGATTATAATAAGATACTGAAGAAGAATCTTCTATGGAAACACCGCACTAGGATAACGTTATGTAATCCATGTAAAGTCTAATATGAATATTTAAGTTTCTACTAAAATGTTTAAAATTTTTTGATTTAGATCAGATTAACAAAGAATTTTAATTTACTAATAGTTTGCATCACGAACTGATCTTCCTTTGACAGCCATCAGAAATCAGGAAACATTAAACAGCTGTGTCGTCCTAGTATGGGACTAAACATAAGTTCACATTCATGACACCTGAACAAGTTGATCATAGTCAGCATCCAGTGATTTACCTATCTAACTTTAATTCATATGCAAAATTGTAGACTATTCCAGTCAGTCAGTAGATATGTCAATAACAAACATTTATTATGAAAATATTTTGCGCCCTGAACTGACTTTAAGAGAACAATCATTAGACAAAGATGTAAATTATGACTTTATAAACAGTATATTATGAAGTAATAAAATTTTTCAAAGTTGAAAGCATGAGCCAATTGAAGCTAGACTACCATGGAAAACCTGCAAGCACTGGACGGCCGTTTCTTCCTATTATGGTACTCCTCAGCGGTGCGCATCCACGATCCCGCACTCACGAGATTCGAACCCGGGACCTACCAGTCTCGAGCCAGAGCCCTTAACCAGTAGACCACTGAGCCGGCAATCAACGAAGTAATAACAATTAATTTAATATTAATTATGGATATAGTAGTTACAGAAAATATCTACCCATGGAAATTAAATTACACAGGACAGATCATTTAATTAGCATCAAATTAATCTGACTAGGTCACCCACTATTTGTGTCAACCAACGTTTCCTTTAAACTCTCATTCAATATAAATAGCTGTTTAGTTTATCAACGTAACTTTTCAAAAGAATTTCAGTCATAACCTGATAACTTGATACCATCGTCCTTTCTACACACTAAACACCGGACAAGACAGGCAATCAAACCTCACATACTGTCACTAAATCCGTGTATTGATTTCACAGAAAGCTCCACACAATCGAAGAGACATGACACTTCCTACCACCGATTAAACGTCACAATGTCAGTAACGATTTGCCGAACACTAAGATTCAATTGGTTGACCGATAAATGGACAACTTCACAAACGTATAAATTCTAGTCCACAACTCACTGGAACATTACAAATCACTGAACGTACAAATGCAAAGAACATTGGTGAGGCATCCATTCATCTAATCAACCAAAACTCTCACTCTCTTTCTCTCCCTCTCTCACACACAGGTGGCAGTATTGACTTTCGTCTTCGCTGTGAACTATCTGGATGTGGTGCACTGTGATGGAGGTGAGCTTCAAACCAAAAGACACGGACCACTTTCACTCATTCATTCATTCATCCAGCCATTAATTCGATCGTTCATTCATTCAATTGGTCATTCACCAGTCCATTCAATCATTCATCCCTCAATCCGTCAATCCATCACTCCGATGATTCATTCATCCAGTCACTCGCTCACTCGCTGACTCACTCTGTATGTTGTTCGGACACCAGTGCAGTCGATCACATTCCACTCACACAATTCAAATCATGTGAGTGGAAGCGTCGAGCCCCAAAGTATTTTGCAGCTGACATTCGTACGAACATTCTTTCACTCACCTCAGGAGAACATTCACCTCAATGCTCACGTTCGCCTGTCATTATTCACAAACAAGTCAGTCATTCAGTCAATCAGTTAGGCAGTTAGGTAGTGGTACTCATCAAGTCAGTGGTCGATTTGCACACACCTAATGGAGAGCCGAACAGAATGAGATTGCTGCAATTGAACTTAACTTAAACCGACAACACATTGTTTCGTTATTGTTTTTCAATGCAGATGGCGCACCCTCAGCTCCAGTCGGATCACCTGATCAGCAACCACCTGCACCAGCCGCACCGGATTCACCGACAGCTCCAGGAGCACCTGCAGCACCAGACGCACCACCACCAGCTTCAGCAACACCAGGTCAGTTCATTCAATATTCAACCACTACTCACATGTCTCACTTCATTTATGCTGTTCATTGTTCAAACACTGTTTCTTTAATCCTCTCCATCACCCTCACGTTTCACCATCACCACCAATCTTCACAGACATTGCTCATTGTTTGAAAACACGATGCTTTGTGAATCGAACAGTCGTCCATTCTCATAGATAATATTTCTCACCCACTTCCACTCGATACGGTGTGTCTGTAGTCAATGCTGAACGTTTCTTCAAACGAGTTGGTGTGCATTGAATTTTGTGTGGGAATGATTTCCTACTGTGCATCACTTGAATAGTGTGCTTCCGTGTTCATACTGTGAACAGTACACATGTACTCTTGTTTTATTCCACAGATTCGCCTGCCACCACCAAGTCAACTGGACGTCCGAAACCATCGAGGAGAGGAACAAGAACAGTCCACCCACCCAGATCACCACCACGTGCTCGTAGTAAGTCACTACACCAACTACTTCTATTCCTTATGTTCGTTTATTTCAATAATCTTGACCAGTACCAAACATCACTCAATCGCCCAAACACACACATTCACGCACTCCACAGCCAAATTACATACTCAGACACTCAATCACTCATTCGCTCACTCACTCTTACAACAACATCAATTCTCACACTCACTCGTTGAATGTCATCACGCGTTTGTTCCATATCACATAATCAACCATTCCCTTACTCACTCACTCACTCACTCACTCCTCCACAAATATCATGTGATCTACAGAGTTTCATATTGATCAACAACCACTATTTCATTTGTTTTCAGGTCCTCACGATCCAACACATCCAAGGAAATACCAACGTCCACCACAAGGTAAGTCTGTCAACAAACATTCATCACTCTCCACTCTCACATCAAACATCTGATAACTGGTTGACCGATCCACTGTGTTCCGCGCGTGTGTGTGAGTGAGTAACTGTGCATGTTCATTGACTGCCACCACTCGTGCAGCTTGCTGTCCTACGTGACGATGGGTGTGGTGTTTATTCCTATTAGGTCCAAGTCTCCAGTCTCTGTGTGATACTGTGCATTGGAGAGTATCAGCTGCTCGTTCATCTCATCACTTTCAAACACACTCGTTTGAAACACTTCACCAATCGCTCATTCAGTCATTCATTCATCCATCCATCCAATTGTTCATTCAATCAATAGGTCAGTCAGTCAGTCAGTTAGTGATTCAACCGACTAACTAGTGTGTTCACTCATCCATATTCGCATACTTCTACTTACAGCCAGTATGTCAGTCAAATCAACTCCTCTTCAACCTTCTCACCATGTTTGTGTTTATTTCATTTGCCTTTTAGATGGTAGAAAATCGGTGCAAATTCTGAGGTGAACGCAGCCAGTGTGTTCAATGACAGTTCCCTCACTTTTACATATGTATCCAATGACAACTGAATAAAATGTTAGGCCTTGAACCTTGTGTTTTTTACGTTAGCTGGCCCCTTCGCTTACCTGTTCTTCTGAATGTTGTATTGAGTGAAATTGATCGTCACTCTCCTGTAGATGTCTGTGTCCATTGGTGACCTCACAATCAACTTTGTCCGTGCTGTTTGCAGACTTACATCTTTCATCTCTTGTTGTCTCTGTTTCGCTATTCGCAATTATATACAAATCTTCGTTTTTTAATATTCCTTCGATCTCATACATTTAGTTGCCTTTATCCTCTTGAACAGAGCAATACCAAAGAATTTAGTAGATTAACATGTACTCATTTTATTTCATAAGGTTCCCATTAGCTGCTTGCAACTTACAATATCTAAAATAAAAATTATTGTAAAGTTTACATACTTATCACAGTAAAAATGGATATTTATCATCATGGTGGAGTAATGGGGTTGAAGACATATAAAGAGTGTCGTAAATAGATTTAATATATGAGAGAAGATTCTGGATCATCAGAAATAGTAACAAGGAATTGTAGAGACTAAATAAGTAATTGATTGTATAATGAAGTAACTGAACATAAATTAATAACATTTAAGAATAATAACACGAGTTGAAATTAGTCAGTTAAAAAATAGATAATGTGGTTATGACTTCGAAATAGCTGATGAGATTAAAATAGGAGAGAGAGGGGGGGGAATTTGCAAAACATGATGTAATAAACTGACGATAAAGTGACCATGATAAAGAAAGATTTGCAATTGTTTCCCTTTACATACAAAAGTCTGGATTTAGTCGTTCAATAGCTATGGATTAGACAAATTTGAGAAGAACAGCATTTGACTGTCGATTGATGATACTGAAAGATTTTAGTCTATCAACTTAACACCCTGTGTCACACAGATGCTTTGCAATGGCACTGCTAAAAGCCTTGAGTCCCACTGATCTGAGACCTTTCGGGATATATTCTTGGAATCGAACGTAGGTCCTTCTTACTGTTCTACCAGTTTAATTGCTCTGACAGGTAAATATAAATTTATATACGCAGTTGGCGGTAACGTGTCAGGGTTACCTATCGATCTTTGATTGTAGTGAGGAACATATGGTTTTGTACAAGTTAATCAGCTTGAGGAAATGAAGAACATACTAGTCTCAGATCTGTTGTTCACCCATCCTTACCTATTGCAGTAACATCAGACACTTCGAACTACGGCTTTGGAGCAATTATTTTTCACATCATGCCAGATGGATCTGAGAAAGCCATATCACAAGCGTCTAGAAGAGCATAGAAACCGAATCTAGCGTTCAGTTAGACGACTTATCAGTATTCACGGCTTCACCACTGAGGATTGAACCCAGGACATTCAGTCTCGTGCGCAAATTCTGAAACTATAGACCACTGAGTCAGTATCCAGTGGTGTCAAAGTCTAACTTCAGTCAACCCGGGATATTATGAGACCATGTTTCATTATCTTCACACAGTTGGGTTCTGGCTCAGTGGTCTATAGGTTAAACGTTCTCGCGCTAGACCGGAGGTCCTGATTAGATTCTTGCGTTCAAAGTCGTGGATGCGTACTCCTGAGTAGTCTCGTGGAAGGACGAAACACCTGTGGATTACTTTTAGGTTTTCATTGGTTGTCTAACTGGAACCTGTTTGACATTTCAATAAAATTCAACAAGCTCCACAACTCCGATACCGAAAAACTGATAGAAACTTGAAGTTGATAAAACAGTATAGGCTTATTTTCTACAACACAAAATTACGAGAGCTTATCGATATCCTGTATAAAGCAAGGATTCGGAGATAGTTCATTTTCAGCCAGTGTCAAATGAAACACTATCAAATAAAAAAATGATAGGAAACCTTTAACAAAGAAACAAACTGACTTTACTACTTTAAAAATGCAATCGAAAATTACATAAAAGTAAAATTGGAAAATATTTTATTCGATGTTATTATTGGATTGTTGATCAAAAATAGGCGCGTAATATGTTGCAATGTAGTGAAACCAGATAAGAATTCGATGACATTTAATCGAGTGAAATTCTATATGCGCTAACTCTAGTGACAAATATAGTATTAAAATTTAATCCAATCATAATCATTCAAATCTACATTAGGGATCAAATCAACATTAAACATTGAACAATTCCAATCCTGTGCCTTGACACAATCCTAAACAAATTAATTATTGATTGGATGTTACCATTCTAAAAAATCAGCTGATTGTGACCAGATGATTAAACAAGTGATCCATTAACTGTACTTAGTGACTGAAAGCCCTAAACTTATTTTAAAAAATAATTGCAGAGTGTTAAACCATCTTTGCTATCGTTAATGACGTTATCAATGACGCCGACACGCAATTCAATTGAGATGAGTAATACGAAATTGACATTATGATAACGAATAGGGAAGGCGAGTAAAATGCTATGATCATTGTAATTACTAATATATATTGTATGAAAATTTTGTAAAAAAAACTCGACTAAATTTATGTCAAGTGACAATGGTAGAAATAAGTTGAATTGATATTGGACTATGAAACTACTTTGTCCTAATTGTCGGGCTGATAACCAACGACATTGAAACATCAATATTATGATTATTGAATTGCTTATTAAAACTTTATCATATATTATACAACTGATTATATATTAGTTGACAGCATTCAAACTCTACCATATTGCAAATTCAAACAACTGTTCGAAAAGATAGAATTCAATATCAGTGATCTACATTCTTCTATTAACCCACAGAAAACTTTGTCGAGTTGGTTTTAAAAAATATGCCATAAAATATGTGTCTACTTTCTGAACAACCTATGAAGTCGATCTGAAGATTGGATGCTTTTTAAAGACATATGTATTTCCTGTCAGATACACAGTTTTATTGACAAAACAAAATGTAAATTTCTAAGTGGAAAAGCAGGAATTATCATCAATTTAAATTGATAATTGTATATCTTTCTCAAAAGTATTAATGGAAAAGAACTTCTAATTGCCCAAATTGACCTTTTTAACATTATTTGCCTGAATATATTAAATTTCATCTTATTGTACTTCATTTCATGGGCACCAACAATTTATATAAATGAATGCTTAATTTAATTTGCCGATCAATTGATCAAAGAAGTGCACTTAACATACACAATTCCTTGAATCCTCATTCTTGCTTGATACCATTCATGCGATGCTACTTAACTCTTTCGAAAGTACTTTCTTTGTAAACTAATGTTTGTTGTTGAAATATGCAATTAATGGATTAAAGTACATGTTTAAATGTAAATACATTGATTGGTTGTTAGTCCTACTAATAAGAATTTACATTCATTTAGTTTTTCAGTCACTTAGTCATAAATAACATTGGCTCTTAAATAAAGGTCCATAAAAATAAAGAATTTAAAAAGTACAAATTGATGGGATTTTTCCATATGTCGCTTATTCCCACTCAGCAATGAATGTTACATATGGGATATTTCAGGATGATCGATAGCCCACTCAATATTTTTATCTGTTCTACCAAACTACCAATTAGAACACTAAAAGAACTAGAGAAGTACTTAAGTAAATGATTCCATCGAAAAGAAAATTTTCTTCGCTGAATTCTCTTTTTCTTATTCAATGACATTCTGAGTTATTTTAATTATCCAAAGTACTTCTATTTACTCTATATTCTTTAGATTTTAAAACTCGTTTTATTATGTAATATAAGACCATGAATCTTTATAAACATGTAGAAAACTGGAACATTTACAGCACCAGACTAAGTAAAACACCTATGATTAATTAACAATAATTTTTGGATGGAAAAGGATAATGTTGATAGTCTTCAAAGAATTCTTTAGAAGTATAGAATAAACTGGAAAATTTCATTCAGTCAGAGATCAGCAGAAACTTTCTGGAAAGTTCTAGACAATGACGGATTATAAGTCATATTCTTGTTTGGCAATTACCAACTTAATTACTAATTTTTTAAAACTTCCTTCATTTGTAAATTTGACTAATGGAAGAATCATTATTATAGCAGAATAACATGAATTTACCATATTTCATGGTTTCTCATCAGCTGCTTACCAACTAAACATAATAGTATTAATCATTAAAAACCAGATTAAATATTTTATATCATACCATTGTAAAAATTCTCATTAGTGAAGATTAATGAGAAAACCAATAAGTATGTAAGCAAAGATGGATAGTGGCTAGCAGTGGAATCCAGGACGCGCGTTTCGTCCTATTTGGGACTCGTCAGTTGGATGTACCTGCATCTCAGAGTTGATGTTCACTCTGGGACTCGAACCCAATACCTTTCGCTTCAAACGCCATCGCGTTATTCACTCAGCTACTGAGTCCTGATATGTTTACAAAGTTTTGCCTATTGATATAACAATGCTAGCCACTAACCATCTTTGTTAAGCATGCTTGTGAGGCAATACGCACAGTATACACATATGCCAATTAGAGACTGACCAGTTGCAGTCCCAAACATCAATGGGAAGATTCAACCAAACAATACTAAGTGAATAAGTATGTAAGAACGATAAAAGATAATCAAATGCCAAATAATGTGAATATTTATAGGTTGAATACAATAGTATTCCAGAATAAACAACGAAGAACAAAGAAACAGAATTATTTAGAAATAATATATAAATGTTGTAGTTACACAACTCAAAAAATAATTAACTGAGCACAAACCAGATAAGAATTAATAAATAGTGTCACGAGAAGAATTGTGTAACCAACATTAATGAATGAGGTCATTGCTGCAAAGCAAGATTGATAGCTGAATCTTTCTGGATTCATCAATTTGGTTTGATTCTTTTTATGATAGTCGCTTAGGCAAGTCGTAGTAAAGTTGACATTCGTTGTTTTTATTGATTATCTTGAAGGAGTTTGAAATATCAACACTATGACCACTATCAAGCACATAGAGTGAGATCACAA